TGTAATGTTTGAAGTTACTATTTATAATGTATATTGATTTTTGTTTATAATTTAATAGTACAGTCTCCTGTCAATAATCTCTTTTACAAACGTTAACTACAATTGCTATAAATATTTCAAAGGTGTTTTTTTATAATTGATAATCACAATTAGTACATATAGGCAAAAGGTAAGTTGCGGATGAGAAAAATTATGAATAGACAAACAAATATTTTTATCACAGTGTGTCTTTTGTTTCTCTTTAGATTTTGAGAACTGTTAAAATTTTTGAAAAATATGAGTTCATTGATAAATATGCATTGTGCATACTTACTGTAACAGCAATAAAAAACCAAGTAATTTTGGAATTTTCGAACCGCAGTATTTAAAATGCAAAAATTGTAATAGAATTCTAAGGAAAATGAAATAACAAAAAAAATCTGACAAACCATTAGTCATAGTAAATGCATATCGTGGTCTCATTTGTTACAAAAATCCAGATCAATGTAATTAGGTCGAATGCAAATGCATACGGGCGTTGGATTCCAAATGTCGAGAGAACATCGCGACTACGCGTTATGAATTAAGACTGTGTATTTTAAAATACCTTTTTACATCCTTAACAACGGGCAAAGAGCCAGTAAGGAAATATATTCTGTAACCAATAATGCTTTCTCTCGGTCAATTTTTAGGTTAGTTTTTTTTATTTGAAAAGGATTTTATCATAACTTAAGTAAACAAACAATGCAATTTGATATTTAAGATAGCTTTTTGATGTGGTATTGTCCTATTTTAATTTACAAAATGTTTAAAAATTAAAGTAAGTTTTTAAACATTTTTTTGTATTTCTTTCTTTCTTTCTACGTCACAGTTTGATAAGGCGAAAGACCTTATATCTTGCATCTAACTAATATTAGAAATTCTAATGTATGTATAGATGGAATTTTCTTAGTATCACCAGAACGACTGAAATTCGGAATAGATGTAGAACATAACATAACTGAACTGAATAACATAACTGGAAGAACACATAGACTACTAATCAAGTTTTTTTAATATCGTGAGAACGGAGTCGCGGGCAACAACTAGTCTATGTAATAGTATATATAACTGTCTATTTTTGTAAACCATAACCGTGACTCAGTGTAGTTATATGGAGCTGTCACTCAGTCTACACTTAAAGCTTGGTGACGGTGGGTTTTTCCATTTTGTACTGGCAGAATGTTGTGAGAATTTATGTCGTCACTTGAGTCGTCATCAGTATGATAAAGTCAAGTTGCGTTTTCAGAATTAATAGGAGTTTCCGACATATGATGTTACATAAAATTTAAATTTTTAGTATGTCGAAAACTTTTTTCCTTAGAATTATGGTTACTAGGAAAATTAAGGGTTAAAAAATTATGTTTTTTCCTTAGTAATTTCAGTAAGGTAAAATTGTGGCTGAAAAGAGGATGTCAACTTTTTTGGTTTTGTATTGCTAGAATGAATAAAAAATATAAGGTGATAAGTTCTAAAAATAAGCGCGAGTTTTCATAAGCGTGAATTCTCAGCCTTTTATTAGAATTTAGAATACTGTGGATGGAATGATCTTGGTTAGCTGGTAACTCCAAAACGGCTAAACGCATTTGAATTTTTGCCGCAGAAATAGTTTACTGTCTTGAATAGCGCATAAGCTAAATCCTCTAAGTGCTGTTTTTTATTGTTAAGGGCTGACTAAGTCGTGAGCAACACCCAGTCTACACTAATAAAGAGGAAATATTTGTTTGTTTGTGTGCATTGAATATACTCTGAAACTACTGAACCGATTTGAAAATTTCTTTCACTGTCGGTAAGCTACACTATCCCCGAGTGACATAGGCTATATTTATTACTAGATTTGTTAAATTCCGCGCGGACGAAGTCGCGGGCAACTGCAAAAAAGATTTAAGAATCAAAATTAGATGAAAAGGTTTCGTAAAAGATTGAAATATTAAATGATTGTTTAAGCCTACTTATTTATGCATTTATGTTTCACAGTTCGTTTTCAGTTACAGTAAACCCTACTGTTCTCAAATAAATTAAAATAAAGGTAAATATTATAGGCACTAAATATAAAATGTGGGTAATAAATCATCTTTTTCCGTACCGTTTCGAATTATATGGGTTTTTCCAGCATTTGTTCTACTAAGTTCATTGTTAACAAAAACTAGGCGCGACTTGAACTTTACACGTCTTGTACTAAGTGAGATGAGTAATGATTTACGTAACTTATGTTCATGATGTATTTCCGTTATTTCTTATACGGTTGTTAAATCGACGAATAACTGATTATTTTTAATTAATCAGAATTGCCTACGCATGTGCAGCTTTATCAAGAGCATTACATTTAAGGAGACGTGAAGATAATTTTTACATACTTTTTGATAGCCATTGGATTTTATTTAGAAATAACTTGTTCTGCCTTAACTATTATATTGTCAATTCTGACAATGGTCTTTCAAAAGTTCTAGCAATGTCTAAATCTGAATCTGAACCGGATCAAAAGTTTAAATCACATAAACTTGTACCGTTGAGTTGCGGTTCAACAACTAAATTAGCAACTCATTACGATGCATACATCTATGACTATGTGAGTTGATCCGCGAGCTGCCTTGTTAATAAAATACAAATCTTAACTCAATGCAGGTATTGATCTGTTTTGAACCATGCTTGGAAAGGAACGGTCCGCTAAGTGGACGTGACGTCAATAAACTAGTCTGCACTGAGCAAGTGTTGTTTCTGTTACTCCCCATATCCATCACACACGTGACCTGATCTGCAGGACATTTTTAGAAGTTACACTAAGTGGTGCACAATGACAGACTTAAAATCGCTGTTTGAATTTTCGTCTAAGGGTCAAGGTTTGTGTCCCCTTCTCTTCCTTTAGTTTACTTAAATAGTTTTCATTTGTTCCAGGAATTATGACATCCCAGAACAAGATGACATGCCGAAGTATATCAGGACAAGACGAAAGTTTACTTCCATACACGATGGGAATACCGGATCGGAACAGACAACAGGTTTTATTGAAAGAAAGTATGCAACGTAAAATTATAGCGGTGAGAGTTTAGCAAAACATATACATATTCCTATGCATAAGGCAAAACCATATTCATCATCATCAGCTCCCTATACGTCTCTACTGAGGGGCTCGGAGCCTACCCTAAGTTAGGGATGACTACGCCATAGTCAATACTGACCCAGGGCGGGACTTCACACATATCTTTGAATATCTTCTCAGATATAAAAACAAAAACAAAAAAAAACATATTACCCAGTAATATTTCCGATTTAAATAGGAACATTAAAAATTTTATGGTAAAATGAGAACATTTGATAACCATACTAAGCTAAACTCTTATCTATATTTGAATTTATTTGACGTCATTATTCTCTTCAGGTCTTGGTCCTTCTCGACCGGACATTTGTGTAACACGAGCAATGTTGCTTTAACGATGTTCAAATACCAGTGAACTCTTAGAAATTATGGAATATGTTTAGCCAAATATAACCTTCGTATTACTTTTCGTGTCAAAGTACTTATCATGCTGATATTGTCATAAAAAACATATTTGATTGTGTATTGTTTTTTTTAGTAAAAAAATGTCAAATGCCGTGAGAAATGTGCGTTGATAGAGTTTTTATATAACTCAATACTACACGAAGACTGTTAGGTTATGTTTGTTTATAAGTTAAGTTGGAAACTTTAAAGGAATTATTTTAATACTCGTAATTTGACGATTAAAGCTATACATTATCCAGAAGTAGTATGTAAAGCATCTATTTATGGCCGTAGAAAAAAATAAAATCATTTTCTTTGTAGAATAATAGCTAATTCCTAAAGGGAAAAGGCTCTCGTCAGACAGACTCCATTAAGGTTAAGATTAAATCTCATGATACGTTCCATAATGACACTCTAAAAGTTTTTAGCTGACATTTTGATTATTGTCCCATCTATCAGACTGCTTAATCCAATTCTTATCATTCTGAGAATTTTATATATATTTTTAAATTTGAGACGGTCAGATTTTTAAAGTGAATCTTAATTTTTTTTTATAATTTCTTAAATCACAAAAATAAATGTGCGAACGTATTAAGAACGTCCTCTTTTTTTGAAGTCGATTTAATTTTTGTTCTGGATATAAACGTGAAAGTAAGAGAGAGAAAAAAATTATACAGTTAAAAAGCTTTTGACTTCTCTTGTTTTTATGTGAACAATGATAATGACAGTGAACTTTTAAAAATGCAATGCGGTCAACGGAACACGATGCAAAATCCTCGCGCCTTCACCGACTTTTGTTGCGTTGATAACTTGATCTTTATTACTTTATTTTACTTTAAAATATGTTTGTATGTAACATGTAACATTGTTTTTCATATATACACTAAGGAGTACCCTTAGTAACCATTTTAAATGCGGCAAATGAAGTCTGTATTTTAGTAAGAACTTACATTAGTAAGTTAAAACTCGTCTTATATTTATCATAACCTGTCTAATGGTTAACGATACGGATTTTCGATCACATGGTCGAGGATTCGAATCCATTCAATAATCATTGGTCTAACCCATATCCAAGCACACGCGTAGAGCTTAGTTAGAATAGTATGAGAAATATTCAAATTAACAAAAAATTTTAATTAAAAAAATCTAAAAAATACTGTATTTTTTCTTTTGATATTTTTTAAAAAATTTTAATCAGTTTGAATTATCTGTGATAATATGGTACTGAGCACAATTTGTAAATAATATTAAAACTCCAACGTTACTATAGCTTCCTTACAGACTTCCTTTTACATATCCTCGATTCATTTGTAACAAAAATAAATGTTAATATTTAAGTAAATTATAAATTTTTAATTTATTTTTAAACAATGGTTTTGTGTTGTAATGTTTATTCTATGATTTATAAAGGCTATGGTGGTAGAGTTATTAATTTAAACAAAAATATCCTTAATCTCATCGATCAACAGATTCAATATAAACAAACGTTGTTCGCACGCAGTTGGTGTCGTCTCCCGCGCCTCTTCTAACGTGCGCGCCTCGCGGTCGCGGAAACAGCGGTTTTTAATCTGTAGTGACATTTAATTTCCCGCCTTTTTTGGTATGTTTTTATTTTTATTTTCATTAATTGCAAAAATGTATTTATCAATTGCCAGGACTAATTCGATCTTATAATAAAGATTAAAAAATAAATTGTACGTATTATTGTAGAGGTGTATAAAATTAAAAATAATAATAATTATAAGTTAAAGTATTAAATTTTTACTATTATTAATTAATAACTAATTCAAATAAATATGCACAATATTTAACATTTAATTTGTATGTACCAATATTTATAATTTGCTGCAAAATATCGCATTGACTGCGTCGAAGTATGTCAACCACGGCGCGCCGTATTGAGAACACCGTTATATTTTCTTTATTCTGTGATCACTTTAGCTTTAAACGTATGCTAATATTACCTTTTAATAATGTTCCTTTCAGTAACGAGCTTAAACTGTATTGACTAATAAAAAAAAACCTTAAATTCACAACCAAAAAAAGCGAATGAAAAATTTCGCTATAACAAGCTGTCGACCGCTTCTCCGTCCGCGCGGAATTAAAAAAACGTAATAGCCTATGGGTTCTTCTAGACTATGTTCCACATATGAGCTGTTTCGGTGATACCATCAAACATCCATCTATCCACTTATCTATCCATCCATTCGCATTTATAATAATAGTAAGATTTGTCTAAAATAGCTATAATTCCTCTAGTCTCTTGAACTCTATCAACAATATTTCAAAATGTTAATATACTTAAAAAACATATAAAATACAACTTTTTAAGTAAAATATTTGTATAAGTCACAAATAGTTGTTTTTTTTGTTATTTTTAGAGTCAAATACAATAAAAGCAATATTTTGGCGTGAAATTAATAACGTATTTTAATTTAATTTTTAAATTGTAACATTATATACAAATCATTTTTTAATCCGCGAAATTGTAGAAAATAAATAAATATTAATAACAAGTAAATATCAATTATATTTATAATTCTCCGCTCAATTTTAATCTTTATATATAAATTTATTATAAATGCGAATGTTTCGATGGATGAATGAATGGATGGACGGATGGATGTTTGTTATAAGGTATCTCGAGAACGGCTGTGTGGATCTCGCTGAAATTTGGCATAGAACATAATCTGGAAGAACACTAATTAGGTTTTTTTTAATAACGCGCAGACAGAGCTAGTTTTTAATATTTAACAGTCTATTAGTTCTTTATTTTAGTATTTATTGTGTTAATAAAAAAAAAACTTTGTTTCAGAACGTCACTTAAAAATGATACGTTCCGCGGAGGTAAGTGTTGTCTTTGTATATTATCATTTTATACATTTTACTATTTACGTTTGTCGGCCAAAATAGTAACTTTTATCTTATAAATTTAATTATGACAAAAGCTCATTGATATAACATTATTTAAAAACTATTACTATTATGTATGACGGAAATAATTCTTGCTTTTTGCGAGATTCACGATAACCGCATATCTTTGTAATTGATCAACATTACGATCGATTATAAAATTCTATAGAAGACTACGTAAGATTTAATTATTAGAATAAAATAAGCCTTCTTTAATGATATAATTGTGACTTCCTTCCTAACAACATATTTAATTAGTATTATTGTATCATGGACAAGCTATAGTTAAAATTTAAAGACATTTAACGTGAGAAAGTTAAATTAAACTAATTTGAAAAACAAAAGATTAGGTTAGGTTAATTTGTTTCAAAGAATAATTACATGTTTTGTTTATAAAATGTTAAATATTACTTTAATTTACCGTTGATATCTGAGACCAATCTGTGACAATATATTTTATTTACAATTTATTTAATATGTTTTAAACGTTGTTTTTGGTCTCAGAAACCACTTCCAAACATAGTCGTAGCATCAAATTCTATAGGTACCGGAGTCCTCTTTCCCTTTTTCTTTTAAGGAAAGGATGGGAAGTGGATGTGGACTTTCCGGATGAGAGGATGCATGGGATGGGAAAATATTTTCTTTCTGTGCATCCTCTCCTCCGTCGATTAAAGGTAGGCAGCGCATATGCAATTGCGTATGTTTATGAGCAACAACACATCGTTATTTCAGCGATTTCAGGTGGCCGCTCGCTCGTTTGCCACCTTATGAAATAAGAAAAAACTTCCCTACGAAAACTTTGCCTTATGGAAAAAAGCAAAGTAGTCTGGAAATATAATTATGTATAGTCTGTGGAAATATCTAAAAAAACGACTTACTTTTGCGACTACAACATTGTATATTTCAACTGTCAATTTTGAGTTCTATTTTTGTTCTTAATTTTAACAGATATGTTATAATTCTTACATCTTGTTATATGTTGATTGTCTTTAGATTTTTTTGTTGTTTTTTGTTATAACTAATTTGGTTACTTGAGTTGTGTTTTGTAGAGATTACCGTAACCGTAAACTTAAATGTAATTAACCTTCGTTAGTTTTTTGAATCTTTTTGCTAAAGAGAATAATAATTAAACTGAAATCTGCTAGAAACAAAAAATAGAATTCATATTCATTTGTTTTAATATCTGTTATTGAATAGAGATATTTAGTATCTAGGCACAAAATAAAGGGAAAATGTGGGTAGAAATTTTTTCCATGTCTGTATCCACTAGTAACAGTATAGCTCGTAAGTTCTGTCCATTTTGTGATGACCTCTTATTTGTTCACAGACGTGCGAATGCCCAATACGAGAGATAGGTCCGGCAATGGCGGACTCTTGCTCGGGACATACTGTCTTACTGTTCATGACTGTACTGGAAGCGTTCATCAACGGCCGCTGTGACCTCGCCGATCCTTGCAACCGTCTCGATAACAAAGACAATCCGGACGATGATTATGACTTTGTTGTGATCGGTGGCGGCACCGCAGGCTCAGTTGTCGCTGGTAGGCTCTCAGAAAACCCGCAATGGAAGGTATGTTTAGCGTTTGGTTCTTCGTAGTGACGTTCTATGAGGACTGTAGAAACAAATAGTGCAAAATCACGTTTTTCTTTATTTGTAATATCACATATTAGTTATTAACACTTCTCACGTCATTTGAATGACATGCATACTTACACTGCATGTTTGGCCTTTATCCGGTATCGTAGTTTTATATATTTGGTAACCCCCTGGATAGTGTTAACTATAACCGTATCCTCCTTGCTACTATATGCATCTTGTTTTACTTCGACGGTGCGTTACCAACTATATGACATTTATTAAACTGCTAAAGCTTTATAAGACTGGGGGATCCTTACACAAACACGCTTCAAAACTGCTACCATTCGCGCACAAAATCTAATATACATGGTGGCACTGAGCATATTAAACCACAATTATGGATGACCCAGTACCGGCGTTAGGCTATGGCACAGTTACGAGATCGCTGGACAGAAAGAGGCATCATATATCTACGTATTACACAGTCTCACGTTATTATGTTAACTTCTTAGTCCCCCTAAATGTATATTAAAGTAGACATCGTTGTATAAATCACACCTAGGGCGTTTGTAGAGTCGTAGTGCTAAAACTACTAAACTATTTAACTTGGTTATGTGTTCTATAAGGTGTTGCTGTTAGAGGCGGGAGGTGATGAGCCGCTGTCATCATCAGTGCCAGCCTGGGTGACGGCTTACTGGGGGCGTAATGACACCGACTGGATGTACTACACGGAGCCGCAGGAGAAAGCATGTCTCGCAGATGGGGGGAAGTGTTACTGGCCTAGAGGGAAATTACTTGGTAAGATTACTTTGTTCTTATGTCAAACGTAATGAGAGGGATGATGATTTATTTATACAGAGATTTTGGTCTCAGAAACTCACGGTAAGTATTTTTGTAGTCTTGTGTCATTGATATTATTGTGCAATGTTATTCAGTCTAGTTTCTTTTTGGAACCTGATCGTTAATTAGGGTTCCGTACCTCATAGGAAAAAAACAGAAACCTTATAGGATCACTTCGTTGTCGGTCTGTCTGTCAAGAAAACACGTGAAGGTATCAAGCTGGAATTTATTTTTAATATAGCTTCACTAAATTTAAAAATATGTTTAGCTTCTAATGATAGCTTCGCCCTACCTCAAGTTAAGATATCTTACATATTGTAAGTCGTAAAAACCCAATAATAAATAAATAAATATATAATTATATTAATAACTTTATAGTGCACGAATATCTAAATAAAATGTAAGGTGAATTATATAAGCAATCGTAAGATAACAATAATAAATCGTGATTTTATTACACGATAATTATAATAGTCATTAGGGAGAGGAAAACTTGCTCGTTGTTGGTAATCATCCTCGTTATGGATTATATCAACTGTTTTTTCGATAACTAACGATTTTAAACAAATGTTACCCCTATTCATCATCATCAACTCAATGTCCCCACTGAGGGGTTCGGAGTCTATCCTAAGTTACGGGTGAACTATGCCAGTTAACACTGACCCAGTACGGGTTGGTTACCCCTTTTATTATTATTATATTATATCTTACTCTTACTAATATTATAAATGCAAATGTTTAGATGGATGGATGGATGTCTGTTTGAAGGTATCTCCGGTACGGCAAAACGGAGCTTGATGAAATTTAGCATAGATGTAGAACATAATCTTAAAGAACATAGAGACTACTAATTAAGTTTTAATTCCGCATGGCCGGAATTGCGGGTGACAACTAGCAATATATAGATGGTATGTCATGTCATGTCAGTTAATCACAGGTTCTCATCATCAGGTGGTTGTTCAACTATAAATGGGATGATGTACATGCGAGGACATGCAGCTGACTACGACGGGTGGGCGGTGAACGGCGCGTACGGCTGGTCCTGGCACGAAGTCTTCCCCTACTTTCTCAAGAGTGAAGACAACAAGGAGATCGGTAGCGGAGTGTCTGGACAGTATCATAATACCGGTGGACCGATGCCGGTGCAGAGAGTAAGTTCATGTATTCCACACAGAAGGTAGTCGTGATGTAGATGTAATCGCGTGTCGTCTGATGAGTGAACGTCTCGGGACTATCTATTTTTAGTCCTGTTTTCTTTCCCATTCTTTTCTTAAATGGATAGGATGTGATCGAAAGAAAAAAGACAGCAAAGGAAGGGGAAATATTCTCTTTCTGTTGGTTACTGTTTCTCACAGGCTCCTCTAAAATGGATTAGTAACGATCAGTTCAATTAAGGAAGTAAATTTAAATAAACGCGAAAAATATTTAATAAAGATTATTTTGCAGTTCCGTCACGCTCCGCAGTTCGCTCACGACGTGGTGGCGGCCTCCATAGAGCTCGGCTTCCCGCCGACTGGTGACCTCAACGGAGAGAGCACTACAGGATTTACACTGGCACAGGCTTTTAATGAGTTCGTTTTATTTACAATTTTAAATCGCTAAACATAAAGACAACCTCAGAAAAAGATAAACAAATATTGGTCTTATTATGGTGTTCAAAAATTTTGGTAGCTCGAACACGATTTAAGGTGTAGCGGACAGCTGATCCTGAGCCTCCAATGTGATTGAAACGGCCAATACTTTAACTTATTCAATGTCATTGACTCAATATCGTATCAAATTATTTCCGATGAGTTTAATTAGTAGAACTAATGCATTCAAGTAACGCATGAAGAGGCCAATCGAAATTACATCTTTTTTTTTTAAATATCGAAGTTCAATACAGTTGAGTTCATATCTTTTGAAGGAAAAAAAGGGATTGACATAGTAGTAGTAGAAAACATACAGAAGCATTCATTGTTATTGTAGTCATTGTCATGTATATTAGTCACTGATATAACGTTAGTTTCTGAGAGCAAAATAAGACTTATCGTCATCTCTGTCCTTATCTTTGACAAAACAGAGACAATAGATATCAATATTAATTCAGATTTCAACTTTCTAATCAGGAAATTATTGCTTTATTCAAATATTTTAATGAATATATTGCAAGATCAAGAACTATTATTTAATCACAGAAAGGGCTTTGATTATTTATTTTTTTCTTTTTTCAACTAAATAGGGGCGGGTCCAGATACACAACATCGCGTGGTTTCCTTCGCCCCGGGGCGCGTCGAGCGAATCTAGACGTTGTGTTCAATGCCTTAGGTTCTAAAGTCGTTGTGGATCCTAACACTAAGAGAGTTACTGCTGTTGAATATATAAAAAACGGGGTTACCAAGACTGTTAAAGTTAATAAAGAGGTAAGGCTCTTAACTTATACCAAACCGTAGAATTTCACTGTCGTTACAAATGTATTGCACATCGTAGTCTCTATTTACTCAAATGAAATGAAAGGGATGACAATATAAATGAATACAAGTGGCACGGCAGTGAAATTCTATGGTGGTAAATGTTTAAAAATTTCTAAACTTCATATTCTTTATTACTGTATAAATCTCATAATACTTTATCTATACTAATGTTATAGAGAAAAGATTTGTTTATATGTTTGTATTGAATATGCTCCAAAACTACTGAACCGATTTGAAAAATTCTATCACTGTTAGAAAGCTACACTATCCCCCGAGTGACATAGGCTATATTTATTACTAGATTTTGTTTATTTTGCGCGGACGAAGTCAACTACAGGTTACCGCACACTATCATTACTGGCTGATTTTTTTATTTTTTTTTCAAATTCCAGGCAATACTTTCAGCGGGCACACTGAATTCTCCTCAAATCTTACTACTCTCTGGTATCGGACCGAAGGAGACGTTGAATAAATTCAATATACCAATAATACAAGACCTGCCAGGTGTTGGACAGAACTTACAGAACCACGTCGGAGTTAAACTGGACTTTAGTTTGATGAAGGAACCAGAACTGCCGGTTCTCGACTGGGCAGCTGCTATGGATTATATGCTGAAGAGAGAAGGACCCTTATCTTCAACGGGGATGTCTCAGGTTAACTAATTAAACGTTTTCTATCACATAGTCACTAAGTAATTACTTAGGGAGTTCCCTTAGTGTATATTAAGAATAAAAGAAAAAGAGGTTTTATTATGTTCTTGAAAATTAAAAGTATTAATAATTAAAGGCAAACTACTCGTGAAGACATTTCAAACGAGTCCAAACTCGATGAAATTGTGTCGTATTATTGCGAAGTTCCTGTGTCCACCTTCCAGCTCCATCGTCGGATAGCACCATTTCATCATAATATTGTCTTCTCACGCGATTTACATGTATGCAAAATTTTAACTCAATCACTTACCGGGCGGTGGATCAAATTTAACTTGAAAGATGTCATCAAGACAAATATGTAACTAAATAAAAGAGGACAAAATGTAGTTCTTTAAAAAACAGAGTTGCAGACTATTCTACTTTTATAGTTTTCATTGTATTTTACTCCAGTTGACAGGTATGGTAAACTCAAAGTACGCGCCTGCAGGCGGCCGACAGCCTGACATACAATACTTCTTCGGCGGATACTACGCGAGCTGTAGCGATGGCAACACTATAGAGCCCCCGCAGTACGCTGCTACGGAGCGCAGGAATGTTATGTAAGTACAACAATTTAAAAAGCTGACTTAGGAACAAGGGAATTCTTAAGTCAATTTCTCATTCTGAATAGCCGTTAGAAGTTCTCAAAATAGTAATAAGCAAGATAGAAAATTGTCTGTCAGTATCATCAAGGCGATTATTGGATTGATACAAAAGATGTAATTTTCAAGCGACGACGTCTGCCTTATTTTAGTTTAGTTGACAGTCTGTCCTATTGTGCCTCCGAAATGTAATATAAATTAGGGATATTCTACGCTAATATTATAAAAAGGAAAGATTTGATTGTTTATTTGAATTGAGTATACTCTGAAACTACTGAACCAATTTAAAAAAAATCTTTCCCTGTTGGGAAGGTACACTATCCCCGGCTGACACAGGAATAATGTTTAATTCCTGGCGGACGGAGTCGCGGGCGACAACTAGTAATTAATATTTGCTGTAACCATTGCCTATACTAGGATAGCAGCAATAGCCCTGCAGCCCCGCAGTCGTGGGTACATCACACTGCGGTCGACGGATCCCACTGAGCCACCAATCATGCAGCCTAACTATTTCTGTGATGACCATGAGATGAACGTCCTTGTGGAAGCAGCCAAGATCGCGTACCGACTTGCTAATACTGCGGTGAGTTGCTATTATTCGGTTAGGTTAGCTAGACTTTACTTCTAAAGCAATTGAGGTTATTTTTCAGATACATTTTGCTGCTACATGTTCTTGATTTAATTTTGTCAAAATCTGCAATGCACTATAGCAATGTCTGTTTGGGAAGCGGTCAAAGGGTTAAGAGTTATGGGTTGCGCCTATCACTATCATAAATAGGGAATTAACACCAAAACAAGCGTGTCATTACGAATCTAAATGTTTTTAAAAGTTTTAATACTTAGAGTAATCTACATATGTATTGTAATCCAGATATTACGGGAGAAGTACGGTATGGTACCGACCCCAGGATACGGTGATAAATGTCCCGGTGGCGGACCCAATCCCACCGACGAGTACTTGAGGTGCCTCGCGCAGTACCATACGGCCCCTGAAAACCATCAAGTTGGCACCTGCAAGATGGGGCCCAGATCAGACCCCATGGCGGTTGTGGACCCACAGCTTAAAGTGCACGGGATAGAAGGTGACTTAAAGTCCGATGTTTTTTTCTTATTTGTGATTGTTTAGATTTTTTAACAAACTTTATTCATTCCAGGTCTTAGAGTAATCGATGCTGCAATAATGCCAACAATACCAACCGGTAAGTGCTAATTAAACTGCACTATTTAATAGATTTGGTTTTTTAGTATCCAAAAAAGTGGCTCAAAGGGCTAGAATCAGAGCCATCAAATTGTAATAAGCGCTACGTCCGGTTTTACGTATTTACCAGTTGTATTTTTTGTAACAGGTAACACAGCAGCGCCGACAGTAATGGTAGCGGAGCGCGGCGCTGAGTTCATAAGGAGCCGACATCAGATGTACAAACATAGACCGGTCAGCGGACTTGGCAATAAATTTGGTGACAACTCAGAGCAGGATGATGCTGACCACAATAGGTAATTGCTACAAAAAATTCCTAATAACTCGTATCTTATTTTAAAGTTTTAGTAATGTTTGTTTGTTCTTAATATTTAAAAAAAACTCATGACTAATGGTAATAAGTAATCATTAGGGCCCGTGCACACAGACCAGGACGGTCTAGCAGACAGACAAAAAAAATGGTTTTTAGTTACAAAAATCATGGTTTTAAGTATCACCTATCTTAGAATTATCTGGGATTATCAGTTTTTATATTACTTTATACTCATCTCGAGAATTATTAATTACTAATGTTATAAATGCGAATGTTTGGATGGATGGATGTTTGGTATCACCAGAAAGGTTGCATGGATGTGTATGACAACTTGAATGGATTTTAAAAAGAGTATTTTTTTACAGACGTTACATTGTATCCATCGATAAAATCGAATTGCAAGAACTTTCATGAAACAATTGGTAAAATGTAAAAATAATTCCATTGGTGTTGGTTTTTAAAAAAAAACAAGAATTCTGTACTACATTGAATCAGGATTAACGAACTTTATCGGGGGATAATATTAATAAAACATTTTTAATAATAATAATCAATATTCGTGTATTAACAGATGGCATTTCACGAACGTCGCAAACAAAGAGCACAAATGGGGCAACTGGAAGGATAAAAACTGGAACTGGGACAACAGGCGGAACGAACAAAATCCCAATTGGATCAGAAATCCTAACACACCTATAGCAGCGGCCAGCTAATAAAATTTTAGTACAAATTAAATATATATTGTTAAGACCCTTTTTCCACTAGTAGAGTAGCCGCAAGGTTGCAATTCGTATCAGAGTCGCAGTCGTGCCAGTTGAAATAATTCATATTGCGTAGAGTTGTGGCGTCTCGCTACGGTCGCGTTAGTGGAAAAAGGATCTAACATTACCTCTGAATCTGGATGTAAACTATAACAATTTCAAATTAGAAATATTTTGTTGAAAAAAATATAAAATAAAATTCAATAAATTTAATTATTTATTTTAATTTAAGTATAAAGGAATCTGTTACAATATGACCAGCATATATTTACAATGTATTTCTTGGCACATTTTATTGTTTATTAAAAATCCTACAAGTAAATTGATTCCTAGACTTTTATCTGAAAAATGTTATTTGTTATTAAGGAACTGTAAATATTTATTGACAAATTAAAAATAACTTATTAAATTAATTATCTTCTATCATTTCTTTCTCCCTTTAGTTTTTCCTTTCCCTTTTATGGGCACTGGTTCAGGTTCTGAATCTGAACTGAAAATTACATTACACTTTAAAAAAATATGGACAAGCAAATCAAAGATAAATTTAGTTATAAAACAAAGGAAATCAAAAATTCATTGCATAAAGTTTATAATACTAGTGAGATTATAAACTCATGATTACATATTACTACACAAATGCTACAAGGTACAAATGAAATTAAAACATAGAATTTTGGTTCTTTTAGTCATAATCCGAAAACGTACAAACGCTCGGCAGTCGCGTCAGAGCGAGACAAATGTATTGTTTCATCTTCAAAAGCATACATTAATTATTCAATGACTTAACAAAAATACAACTATGGTAAATGATTTTTGATAAACCTAGAAAACTATATAAAATTATTAAAAAAAATCACAATATATAAAGCAAAATACCATAAAAGTCACATCCAATATGTTTGTCTCGCTCTGATGCGACTGCCGAGCGTTGTTCGTACGATTTCGGATTATCTCTTAATGTAATATATTGTTTTCTCACTTTTGTCAAAGCGAATGAAAGGGACGGCAACACAAATAGAGCTCTAGAGCATTAGATTTAAAGATAATAGGAACTTACTCATCACTTCCACTAGGTGTCTCTGGTATGGTGACATTTCCCGACTTTTGTTTCGCATCAATTAATTCGCTAGAATCTTCTAGAAGAGATTGGACCTAAAACATTTCGAATAACTAATTAGTAGAAGCCAAGAATAGGATATATTTTTACCTAGAGAATTAACCAAGTATTATAAATGCGAATGTCTGGATGGATGGATGGATGTATGTTAGAAGGTATCTCCAAAATGGCTGTCGGGATCTGGATGATGGTATAGACCATTGTCAGGAAGAACACATAAGCTACTTAACAATTTTTTTTTTAATTATTAAGATGTTTAATAAGCTTTATTTAAAAAATATATATTTTGTTACTTACAATTTCTTTATCATATACAATAGTGTGCAGCTGCGTTTCATCAGCAGAATCTTCAAATAATGAATCTTGTGAGCTACCGGCACTACTGCGAGTCGATCCTTTACCTTGATTCCCTAAATATACAATTAAACTAAATGTTAATTAAGTTAAAACCAATTAAACATTAGATCTGAGAAAATTAGTTGTGTAAATTTAATTATCACTTAAAAACTACATTTTAAAAAAGTATTAAGTCACATGACGTGTATAACATAAAGGTAAAAATACACGGAGCGCTTCGAATAGCATTTTTATTTGATTGGAAAGTGAATACGAATATTTGATGCAGTTCGTGTATGCCTGGCGTTAATAGTAACAGCGACTGCTGTTTGCAATTTAAAAAGTCGTCTATTAAAATTCTTTGTTAAAATAAAACGTTAGAGTTTTTGTAAATTTGGTAAATACCTGTTTTATTTTCTTGTTTCTTTTCACTGCCGTTACTCTTCTCTCCACTGGAGGGTGGTGAAGTAGAGGTGGAGGAACGCGTATCTCTTGTCCTTCTCACACTCACGTTACACCGCTCTTGATCGTCCGCGGGAGAAAGAGATGGAGATTTGGCCAATGTCTTCTTTTTACCTTTGGATACTTGTTGTTTTGCTATAAAATAATTATGAAGAATGTAAGGCATAATAATTAACAAAATCAATACATTTTTATACTTAAAACCCAAATGTACTGTTTAAAAATATTGATATTCTAGTTACTTACGAACAAAAAAACACCGAGACAAAAAATCATATACCTATCCCTGTCTTTTCAAAGACAATAGAGAAGGATGTCAATATATTTCTGTGTAGTTTTGGCAGTTGAAATTCATTGCAATAATTACCTCTATCTACATCTTCAATAGATCGTTGCGACCTGGTCCTCTTTATGCCTTTTTCCGTCTCCTTTCCTTCTTCTTGCTCTTTGCTAGTCTTCTTTTTGGTCCGCGTCTTCTTTTCAGTCTCACTTTTTTCTGTTTTCTTGTTCGTTGACTTCTTTTTCTTTCCTATTACAAGGAATCATTTTATTAACATAAAGCAAACATTTTTCAAACTACTTATATTAAAAAAATACGACCAAAATTTCCTTTTTTTTTAATTTTAGACACAATTTTAAGTTAAAAAAAACATTAAACGTGAGTTTTTGAGTCCAAAATCTCCAACATGTGTTATGTCAAAGATAATGACAGGGACGACATGTTTCATATATATATATTTAGGTGTCAGAAACCCGTGGTAAATTAAATTAATAATATTCTATGACATACCTTTAACAACTTTAGGTTTCTTAACCGGTGATACTCCACTACTGTCAGAGTGAACTTCATCAGGATCTGCAGCGGCCGTGTCGCACTCCGTTGACTTTTTACTTGATTGAATGCTCATGTTTGTATGTTCAGGCTCTGTCATAGTCATAAAGTTTGAATGGATGGATGTTTGTTATTAAAAAACTCTAAATCTGCTTAAGGGATCTCGATGAAATTTGACATAAATGTCTAGAAGAACACATATTAAGTTTTCTTTTCAATTCCGCTCAGACGAAGTCGGGCAAAATCTTATATAATTATAGATCAAACAAAGACTGAGCAGTAAGTTCTATCATAAAATATGTAAACGCTATATGGGCTTAGAAAATTGCATAAAAAATGACATGAGAGCTACAGTACTACATGTATCTTGGACTTTTTTGACGTGAACAGGGGGCGCTAGTGAGCCGTCAAAATTTAGTTTAACTTATGGCTACCAGGGTAAATATCCTTATAGGTCTATTTTATGCGTTTCGAATAACTACCGCGATATGTCAAAACTGGGTAGCAAAATTATGTGTTCATAAAAAATCACGGCTTCAAAATATTATAAATGCGAATGTTCGGTTGGATGGATGGATGGATATTTGTTTGAAGGTATTTCCAGAACGGCTGCACGGATCTCGTTGAAATTTGGCATAAAAGTAGAACATAGTCTAGGAGACATACGCTATTATTTTTTTTTAATTCCTCGCGAACGAAATCGGACAGCTAGTATTAAATAAATATATTTTTAAAGGTTCTATGTGAAATAAATAGTTGTTTTCTTTATGTTACCATGAGAGATTTTAGAAGGCATTTCAGTGGGCGATGTCTCGTCGATTTCTGGTTCTTCTTCCACCGTTTCGTTTATAATTACATGTGTACTGCGACCTATCGGTTGAGCTGTAAATGTTATAATATAAAAACATTAATTTTTCTTTTATATAAAATTCTCGTATCACAATGTTAGTTACCATATTCCTTAGCTTGATGGAATTATGAAATTTTACATACATATTTAGTAGGTCTGAGAATCGGGTACTAACTATTAATCTCGCGCAGACAGAGTACAGGCTACAGCTTTTGGTACAAATAAAAAGATTTCTACTACATTTAAATGCTAAAATCTGAAAGTTAATCTATAATTCTAAACTAGCTACATAATACAAGTTATTCCTACTTTTATTAAATTATATGAACATACATAAATACCACTTTAAAACAAAGTTAGGGTAACGTCTTCTTCGATCCAACAAAGAACGCGATTTACCTTTATTAAAATAATCCATATAAATATTGTAATTTTAACTAACTTCAACTAAATTGTTATTAACGTTTATTAATTTCTTATTTTTTTATTGCTTTTTGTTCTATACTTACGTAAAGAAGTCGTAGTTCGTCTTGTTTGAGTCAAACTGTCTTCGACTTGCAGAGTTCCTTCTGAAGCAACTGTAAAAAAATAAAATTTTGTAGCAAAAAAAAAAATACTTTTTAACCTGAAGAAATCTTTTTAAATATTCTTTAAATGATGATTCAATGTTGCGATACAAAAAGGAGAAAGAAAGTAATATTATACAATTTTTAAATTTGTATACTTCAACTAAAAGACTATAAAATTTAAAAAAAAAATAATATATAATATTAAATTAGTTACCTGTTGTAGATATCTTGTTTAAGGAGGAACGTTCCATTGCTTCTAAGGAGCCCAGATATCTGATCAGGTTACGTGTCGATTGCTTTTCCGTCAGATTCTGAAAACCAGCAAGAAAAAATCGATATTAAATCGGTTTTAAGGCGAAATTCCGAGTCCGCAGCGTGATAACGCACAGCGTGTTAGCGGGAATTGTAAAAACTTCAGCATTTCAAAAACTGCATGCAATTTTTAATATGGCTTGTCCATTGCAAAATAGCAACGTGTCAGCGTGCGGGACATTTCACACTGTCAGCTATAAAGACTTTAATTACCGTTATGAGGTCCCGCAGCGTATTAGCGAGGTCAGCAGCGACCTGAGCGTCACGCGGGGGCGACAGTAGCGCGAGCACGCGGCACGCCAGTGGCGCCTCCGGTCGCGTCGGGCAGCGTGACAGCGCGCCGCAAAGCGTGACAGCCATCCCGCCTTGACTGTCAATTAGCTGAAACATAAAGAAAAAACTTACACAGTGTTCAATAACTAACAAACCAGTCAATCAAATCCGGTTATATCGACATATACTGTATTCGGTTGTCATAACAGACTAGCTGTCGCTCTCGACAATTGCATATATATATGCCATTGGTTAAAAAGTCGATGTCTTATTAAGCAGAGTCTTCTGTATACATACTTCATGGTTGACTCTTGTGAGTGAGACGATGAACCGGACCACAGCTTCTTGGTCTATTTCAGCAATAGGAGAAGATGAGGGAGCGTTTGCTAGCGCGCGTAATGTAGGCAATGTTGCTTTCTGGAAGAAATAACTTAATTATTCCCCGGACAGATTATTTTAAAGTCAAATATAACATATGTTATATTGTAATTAATTTTCTTTACCTGTATTTGTTCCTGGGCTCCGTCAACACTAATTGGGTAAGTTTGGAAGAAAACTCCGATAATTTGACGCAGCATGTCTTCATCCGCTGATAAATTTACAGAAAACTTAGTTTAGTTTAAACATTTCAAACTAATTATCAAACTTAATTAAAAAAAAACCAACGTCTGAGTATCAGAAAGAAAAGAAAAGCGCCATCTATTTTCTGCGTTTTAAAACAAAGTTTTTATTTTTTATTTTAGATAAATTTTAAACTTTAATGCAATACTGACTTATTTTAATATGTACTCGAAAACATGGAAAGAAAGATAACGAGCGAAGGCTCTTTCTCTCTCCCCCATGTGTATATTTTATTGCAGAAGATAAGAATGTTCTACCTAAACTCAATATATTTCTGACATTTTTATCACTTATTCTGCTTTTTTCTTTTTCAGTCTGTCTAGTGTTACCAGTAGTAACACATAGACAATAAATAAAATAAATAAAGTTAAAATTTAACTAACCTGTAGCTGGATTGAACCATAGCAACAACAATCTGCTCAATATAGAGGGGGACTCCAAATGACCGAGGTGAATCAGACGACAAAATCCTTCCACTATTATAAGTCTGAATGATGCACACTGGAAATAAATTGATAACTAATTGTAGTACATAAAAATAAACACTAAATTACTCCAAAAAATATAGTTAAACACGTGTTTTAACCGTTTCACCGCCGCACACTGGGCAGAAACTTCGGCTTTCATAGACTTATTCGTCTGAAATTATTGACTATGTTTTTCTTGCTTGAATCTGCTTTGTATGAGAAAATACCTAGTGTGCGCCGGTGAATAATATTGACATTTCCTTGGTCATAAAAGTGTACATTCACCCTTAAATAAGTATCACAAAAACTGTTTTTGGGTATAAGTACATATTTGTCCAGATTGCATTTTGGAATATGTATAATCATATTTCAATAATTATGCTTTTTGGTTATGTCTAATATGAGCGTTCGATAAAAGGGTTATGTTTTCTTTGGTTACGCCTTAAAATTCCGTGAATTTGAATTGTGACATTTAGCTATCTCTATCTCTTTCGAATAGAATGAAAGGGATGGCAATATTATGTTACAATGATGATTCTTCATAAATTCTGTAAAAACTACTGACTTACTGAGCTGTCCATGAGTTGCAATAATACTTTTATAACAGTACTGTGTGTCGGACTTAAACATAACACTGACTCCGAAATGCTCTCTGAAAAGAAAAAAAAACTATTTTCATACATAAACCAACGGTGATTTAAATTTGGAACACGCTTTATTTTTAAGTTTTTTTTTAATAATTGTATATATAATTTGTTAATGGCGGAGTTTGCTGAAATACTAAAATAGTCTTCCAGAATTTATTAAGCGATAAAAAATACTTATTTTCAGTCTTAAAATCAGAACTAAATGTCTATTCTCATGTGACATAGAGCTTTTTTGTTTTTTCTAATTGCCAAAGTAATGTTTACCTTCATCCTCAGTATCTTCAATTGTACGGTTAGTGGTACGCCTCTTCTTCATTCTGGAATCTTCTTTTGCAGCATCCGCCTCATCATCAAACACTGTGACTCCGTGCACGCAGAGTAAATCCATAACGCAACGGAGAGCTGTTGTTACTAAGGGCTCATTACTTGTGTCTATTAACTGAAATATTAATTATAAATTAAATCTTACTCATATAAATACGTATGTTTAGATGGATGGATGGTTGTTTATTTGAAGTTATCTCTAGAACGGATCTTGATGAAATTTGGCATACATATAGAACATAATCTGGAAGAACAAATAGGCTACTAATTATGTTTTTTATAATTCGCGCAGACGGAGTCGCGGGCGACAGCTAGTAAGATATAAATGTTTTCATACAAATGTGTTGACAATGGAAACTTATATTGATACAAATATGTTTGTTAGTTTTATATACATTTTAATTTAATTTTCATTTAACAAGTTGTCTGAGATGGTTATCATTTTAGAAAAAATAAATGCAAGATTAATAATTTATTTAAATGATTTATCAAGTGTGTCTTCATTCTAATTGGTTTTTATTGTTTCTGTCTACCGCTGTGGGTTACGGGCGTGAGTTATGTTGTGGTATAATATAATTATTTTACTTACTTTAGCAAAGAAGAATGATTTGTACTCCTTCGCAAATTCCTTGTCTAACATCGCATACAGTGCCACTGTTTCTAAAGCGTTGATTTGTATTTCAATGTTTTTAAATATCTCGACCTAGAAAATAATATTTGAATCAATAGAACATTATAACGACATTCCACTCTAAATATTGTCTTTGTAAGCCAATTAGATAAACACACATATAAATATTAGCGTGAAATTTCATTGCTGAAACCCTCAACCAAAAACATATGGTTATCTCTCTTTTTTTAAACAGAGTGAAAAAGACAGCAATAGAATTACAGCATTAGATAAATGTTTGTTAGTAGGTATCTCTGGAACGGCTCAACGGAACTCAAATTTGGCATATATGTAGAACAAAGTCTGGAAGAACACGAAGGCTGCCTATTAAGTTTTCTTGTTTTTTTCCCGCGCAGACGTAGTCGCGGGCGACAACTAGTATTTAATAAAAAACTACACATATAAAATGTACATACCTCTAAATCTTTAAATATCATCCGTAGAATGGGCGTCAAAGTTGTCAACTGTGGAGTGTCCAAAGCAGCATTTAATATTATGAGACATTTATTCAATGTGGCTTCGTCTGATTTGCTTTCTTTGATAGTCTGGAAAATACCAAAAATATAACAGCTAATTTTTACTACATTTAAAATAATAAAAAATATCTGAACGAATTTGTAAAACTTCTTTTTGGTTTCCATGTTGCCGGTAGAGTAGGGCAATAGCACTGGCCTGGCATGGTCTGTTTTGACTCACTGGCGGCAGTAACTATTTACATTATGCCAGCGCTGATTTTGACTACTGTCCTACTGTACTGGCATAATGTAAACCAGACATTATATTAGTAATATTAATGTAATGTTTTAAATGAAATTAAATAATTATCAAAATATTTCTAACTTACTGGTAAAATTGGCGGCGGTGGAGGTGCGGGTTGGATATTTAAATCTTCTAACTTCTTCTGTATGTCTTCAACCTGAACAACGTAAAAAAACAGATAAAATGTATAAAATTACATAAAATCAACATTATTTTTACTTAATTTATATTGAATAATAAAACATACTATATTTATGTTTGACAATTTATCCCAACAACATATAAATCTATATAAATACAATCTAATTTACCTTTGCTTTGCATTCTGCGGCGAGAGCATAGTTCTGTTCTCTGACCGCTTCTTCCTGAGCTTCCATAGCCACATTGAGAGACACGCGTAACCTAGCTCTCTGTAAAATAAAATGATTAATTAAAAAACAAAACAATAAGCTTGTCGATTCCTTGTGACAGTCAACAAGACAGACAGTCCCAACGAACAATATATAAAATTTAGTCAATTGAATTCATTATGAAATAGAAGGAACATAATTGGAGTAATTCCACCAAAAGTTGAAAGACATATCTTAAATGTAGCTCTTAGTCACTATATTATATGAACTTTTTACTTACAAGATCTAATAAACCTTGTATTTAACTAACAATAAATACACACCTGTAACTTAACTTCTGTGGACTCCATAGCTGGAGGTAGTGGGACTGGAGACACCTCGACCTCCTCAGGGTCGCGCAGTGCCGATATCATGGTGTTAATAGCCTCCATACGTGCTGATACGTCAGGCACTACCAACTCTAGTGCCATCACGAATGCACGAAGCACTTCTGGATTTAATGGGCCATAGTCACCTAGAAAAAGTTTCCTATGATTTACGCTAATTTCGCTTGAGTATAGTAGTTTTCAGATATCTTAGCGCATCCTTTCTATGCAATGTTAGGCGTGTTGGGGCGTAGCGAGATGTGAGAGGTGGGCATTGTGCAGGACCGGTGACCTTGGACCGCCATTATTTAAAGACGTTTTATTTATGTATGAAGTATACATAGATATATAAATAAAATGCAGTGTAATAGCTGCTACTAAAGCTTTCTACTAGACAAAGGATGTTCAAAAACATTCAGTAGTTCGTAGAAAACAAACAAAAATCATATAATGCCTGATTTAATAATAAAATTAGTTCAAAATTAAATAATTAAATTCAATTTGCATGCAAATTTAAGTGACTTTTTAATTGAGGGAAACTATAGCACATAATATTTCGTCCAACACCACCATTTACAAGAGCTCAAAAACATTTTAGTATTTACCACAGTTTTTGTATCATCCAAAATTCTCTTACCAGTTAGCACATCCGCAATTAGATCCTGCAAAGAAGTCCTGCCGGCAGGATCAGACACATCGTACACTCGCAGCATCAGCCCCAACTCCTGCAGCACGTACTGCCGCGTGCTGAACCCGACAGGATCTTCAGACTCCGAAGGGCATGGAGACTCTACTATACTGAAAAAATGAAGTTAAAAATATTATTAGTTTAGGATTTTAAAAGAAGTACATAAGTAATAAATACATATGCGTAGACGCATTTGTATTTATTACGATTTTTTTGTGTTAATTATAATACATAAAATAATATTGTTTTTTTTACACCAATTCGTGTAAAATAAGTTAATTATATAAGTTTTTTTTACATAACAAAGAACAAAAAAGTTATTTTAGTACGATTACTTCTCTGAAGAGTAATGTTTCATGAATTTATTTCTATTCCACTTTCACTTAATATTGTAAAATCAAATCAAATAGAGACTGGTCTAGTGTAGAAGGAAGTCTGTAAGAATGCCACCTGAATTCAATTCGAACTCCTAATCATAGAAAAAAAACAGTCTTTTTTTAAATTATCTATAGTTAAAACTCACGCTCTAATATATCCGGTAAGTACAACCAAATCTGGCAACACTGTTTGTAATGTTTCGTCATCATCAATACTCTGTAAGTGTTCTGCAAGATGGCGCCAGTACCACGCCGTCTCCTTGTTCAGCTTCTCCGCGGGAATCAATCTCAAAGTCTTATCTGTTGGCAGCCATTCCAACAGCTCTGATATTGGTAAACGTCTGAAATAGTCACAAAATTTTAATTATAAAACTGGCTGTCGCCCGCGACTCCGTCCGCTCGGGATTAAAAAAAAGCATAACAAATAGTCTATGTGTTCTTCCAGATTATGTTCTATGTATATACCAAATTTCATAGAGATCCGTTTAACCGTAGACATACCTTCAAACAAACATCCATCCATTCATCCATCTAAACATACGCATTTATAATATTAGTAAGATAAGAATTAAAATCACTATAACTGTCATCACCAAATAGTATTTCTTCAATTATTTCAAGTAAAGAAAGAAAATAAAGACATTATTTAAAAGCATTTTCTACTAGCTAAGAAAAATTTTGACATCAATAGATATTTAAACATTCCAAAAGAAAAAGAAAAAAATGCTGGAAACGAGGTTAGGATACATTTGAGATTACATTAAAATAAAAGGTGACATAATCATAAAGTAATAGATTACTTCAATTATTTTTTTACACTCAAAAATGATTAAATATTACTTACTTGAAAAGTGACTCTAGTAGTTTGCCAGCTACATACTGAGAGTCCTTAGCATCCAAGGCGTTATCCAAACGTATAGCTTTCAACAAATGTACTATGTTGCCTTCAAATGAACTCAACCACGCTGGTATTAGAATCTCTTCTACCACCCTACGTACTCTTATACTACGTTCAGTAAGACCCACCTGTAAAAAAAAATTGAATAACAGTCAAAAACATGCAATATAAATCTTTATTTGTTCTGCATACAGTACAGGTTGCCCATGACGTCTGTCGGCATTAAAAAAAACAATGCCTTAATTACTCAGGCATTCGTAAGATACTTTCCAGTAAAAATCTCGCCAAAATCAGTCCAGCCATTTGGGAGATTATCAGACAAACACACTGAGCATTTTTAAAATGTATATATATATCACCAATATAAATAATAATTAGTTACCTTAAGCGTGAGCACTCTCTGTCTGACTCTAAGCTGTGTAACATTCATAGCCGAGATATAGAGGAAGGCCGCACGACGCACCGCCTCGTCCACATCGCAGAGTCGCTCCAGTACAAATGGCACATTACGTGTGCATTTAGCTATTGACATTACTATCGCTCTAAAAATGTATATAATTGTAAGTCTCCACTCAAAAGCAAGCAAGAATTAGTCAAAAGTCAAAAGTTAGACCTTAAATCGCCAAAAGAGGGGAACCAACGAAAAAGAGAATATATTCCTTTCCTATGCATTTCCTGCTCCATATGATTCTTTATGCATAATGCTTACTTTAGTTTTTGAAGTGATTTAAAAATCAGAAATGGAATCAAACCAATTAACATCTACCTTCTAACGGATGAACTTGGGTCACAGCTCATATGGAAGCGGTATGCTCTGGTGACCTCATCATCAGGGTCCATAGGGTTCTGCAAACGCTGTAATGCCAGCCCAGCCCGACATCGTACAGCACCTCTAGTGTCTTGTAATCTTTGCATCTAATGAAAAAAAGATGTGATGAAAATTCTCACAGAACAACTCTTCTCGGATCAGGGGATTGGCAAAAGACTGATCATTTAAGCAATCAATGTGGTAGGCTTATGGTCAGTAATGGACAACCATAAGCTGGATGAATGAAAGGATGAAGCCCTAAGTGATACTTGTATATCTAATCCATGACAATTTACAATTTAACATTTGAATCTTTGACAATACCTTAAAGTTATCACCAGCTAGTATAGACATCCACAACACAATAGGAAGGCGGCTGGCCTTTAAAATAGAACTTGTAGAAATTAAACAAAAGTTAAATCACCTGTGAAGCAAGTAGTTTGTCACAAAGGTCATCATCAAGGGATGCATCATTACCCAGAGCAGCAAGCACAGCAGCAAGTAACTGACTCGCACGATATCTTACAGCTTGTCCGGAAACACATTGAAACTAAAAGAGAAAGATAATACTTTTCATGCTACCATGAAAACCACAATTCATATTCTTATTTGAATATTTTATATAACATAAAGTCACTAAACTTTCCTGGTTTTTTAATTTAATCAATATTTTATGATTCTTTTTTTTGAGATTTGCAAAAACAAAGACATTATGATGAATATACTTACGTCGAAAATGATATCAAATATAAACATAAGAAATTCTTCTTCATCATCCAGACTTGTGCAAAATGTCGCCACAAATTGTATAACTCTGTCTACATTAGCACTGGTGTCTCCAAATGTAAATAAGTATTGTAAGGCATTTCTGAAGCTCTCTCGGAATGCATCTTGCTCAGTCTGTGAAGTTATGAAAAATTAATGAGATAATTCGATCGACAGACGCTAAAGAAAACATTAGTGTTATATGTTATAAAGAAAATAAAAAACGTACCTTTTTATACAATTTTGTCATTTCCTTAACGTATTTTTTGTGTTGAACAACATTGTATTGAACATTTTGGAAAATCTTGAACATAACAGGTATATTCCGAGGATTTGGTGTTGGACATACTTGAATCGTTTGAGGAATTTGAGGATCCGATGGTGCCATCACGAATTCCAAGTTGGATAACAAAACAAATCATAAGATAAGAATATTTAGAACTTTTAAATACAACTTCAAACTTCAAATCTTTTCATACATACGATACGTCAAATTCAAATTGACGTGACCGTTTTATTTTGAATTTTTGAACATTCTGACTTTTTGCATTTAGGGTTACCATAACAAAAGTTTACAGGTACAAAAATATAATTTATGACAGAAAGTAGCTGAAAATGGGACTTGTCCAATTTTTTAATACTTCTGGAGCGACGTGTGGCCTTAAAGACTTCACCAGGATACCACGTGGGTAAATCACTAATAAAACCCGTTCCGCGAATAGGATAGATACTGGGTTACATCAAAGAGTATATATAATGCATGGGTTACATGCTACATTCTAAAAAGAAGAATTAATAATTTTAATAAAACAAATTTAAGTATTAAAAATCTTTAATGTTTTCTTTGGTTGATTAGTACAATCACTTTCGTAATTAGAATTAAAATTAATAGTAAACTCAACTTATGCGAAAATTATTTACAAATTAATCAATCGTAATACAAGTCTATCTATAAAATTAGTGTAGCATTTTTGTTTTTTAGATACATTTTGACAACACAAATATTTTATTACGGCTTTTGAGTACCGCATAGTAGGTGTATGTTTTATAAGTATAAATGTTAAGTGTAGTTAGCTCAAAAAAGATCAATTGTGGGATTTTTCGTATATTAGAAATACATTCCCGCTTATTTTATGAGTTTCTATACAAAAATAAATAAATAAATTTAAAGTCTATTGCCTATATATCTAATCAAAACCAATGGGAAATACTTGTGACAATGTAAACATAGATATTGGGAGAAAGGAACAAATTATACTTGTCTAATCTGTTAATTATAAATTAGAAATTTCGATGACAAAAAAACCTTGATATCAATTACTTATTCTCTGAAAAAAAACTGTGACAACACTAGATTTGCGTAAAATATTTGCGGGTAGTTTAAAAAAGCTTTTCAACTTTAAATTATCTAACTGTTTATATAAATAGGTACTAAGTAAATGTTAATTCCATATGTAATGGATAAAGTCAATTCAATGTAATCAAATGTGTATTATAAAGTCTCGAAGTTTCCTTCATATCACAAAGAAAGCACGCATTGTCTTATTCTAGATCGTCGATTAGTGAGTCTAGCTCCTTCTGTAATGTCATGGACTCTTCTCTTTGCTTGAGTACATCGTCTTTGAGTCGATCTACGTTAGCCATGAGGAGTGTGTTGCCTTTCTTCAAAGCATTTACCCTAGTTTCGTGCCTCTTGAGACGTTTTGTGAGATTATCCTTCTTGTTTGGTAAAGGAGCGTCCTGAAATTGTAAAAAAGGTAAGCGATTACTTTCTTAAGTTCATAACATTAATATTAATGATGATACTTGCCTTGCACTTTTAATTTTTCAATTTTTACAAACAAATATCTGTCATTTAGTGCCTAATAAAACTTATTACCTGACCTTACAACAATTTCGGATTAAATCAGTAATTCAAATGTTAGTATATTTCGTTTAAATTACTAATTATCAATTTTTATCAATTATTTAAATTTATCGCACCTCTGGTTCACTTTCGCTCTCAGTTTCGCTTTCTGTGTCCTGCTCAGTTTCAGTTTCTGTTTCTTCTTCGCTCTCACTCTTTTTCTCTTCTTCAGATTCTTCCTCTTCCTCTTCCTCCTCTTCTTCTTCGTCTGATCCTACTTCTTTCATCATTGCTGCCATCTTGTCTACTTCGCGCTTTAACTCTTTGTACTTTCGTTTTTCATCCCTGTAATATTTTGATGAAGAATTTTTAAATATGTGTTTATTTAAATGATCCATTAGAGGATAAATTCACTATAATCGGTTATATATTTTTATACTTACTTAAGTGCTGCTTGCTGATTCTTTAGTGCCATCTTATAGCCCATACGTTCTCTCTTCATATTGTCTTGCTTTTGCTTTAAATGTGAGATCTTGTTCCTCATGTTTCTTATCTCTTTCTCTAATCGCTTTTGTTTCTTCTCTTCACTTTCTTCCTGCAATTTTACAAAATATAAATAAGACAACTGTCGGTTAGTACAACATGTATTATTTTTTTACTAACTTAAATTATTTAATGCCATACATCTTTTTATTAAGTAAATAATTTTACCTCTTCATCCTCGGATTCTTCCTCTTCTTCAAAACTATCGTCCTTTGTTACGGAAAGCTGCTTTATGGCGTGACTGGATCGTCTGGAGCCAGCGCTCGTCGGCATTATACCCTGGAAATATGCCATATAATTTCTTGTATTTTCTGAATAATAAATTAGATTCCGAGAATTCACACATCGTGGTGCCTTTTTCATTGTTTAAAATATTTAAGGATTGAGTTTTAATATGTTCTAACCTCTTTTTTAAACCCTTCTCTTTATTTATTATATTCTTAATGTTTATCTATAATATTATTTATGTTTTTATTCTACGCAATACAACAGAAGAAAAGGAAAAGAAGCTTGGGGAAGTTAGCGATAAGACTACAGAGAGTAATGTCCATTTAAATAGATGTAAACGGACAAATTTAATAAAGACTTCTTAAATTAATTGTTTCTTTTTTTAATTACGTTTAAATTAAGAGTTAAGTTAAAAAAATATGATGTGTAATACAAAGCAGTTTATGGTATTATTAGCTTTACCTCATCATTGTTAGAGTTAGTAATAGAAGCGTTAGCAAGGTTATTGTTAGCATCAACTTTCTGTCTCATTTCCTCAGCTTCTTTAGAGTTAACATCAATGTTTAATAACCTACACTGCCTTATTATATCGAGCTGGGTCTTTTGGTAGAATGATAAAGGTTCTTCAGAAGCTAACAATTCTTCATATTTATCCTGGAATTTTTAAAGCGGTTAGATGTTAGAAGCATCGGATATCGTAGAATTGTTAATAATCAATTTATTACAAACTAGCTGTCACACGCGACTCCGACCGCGCTGTATTGAAAAAAACTTAATGACTAGCATATGTGTTCTTCCAGACTATGTTCTACATTTATGCCAAATTTCAGCGTGATCCATAAGGACGTTCTGAAGATACGTTCAAACAAACATCCATCCATTCAATCATACGCATCTATCTATTATATTAGTAAGAAGTAAGATATATAAATAAGCATAAATAGATAAAAGTCTTACCGATAGAGCTTGTTCCAATTTCTTTTCCAGCTCAGCATTTCTCCTCTTCATTTCTTCTAATTCTGATTGTGCTGTATCTCTTTCTTCTGCCGCTTCTAAATATTGTTTTTCTAAATTATCGGCTGTTTCCTTTGCTTTTTCGACTTCCATTTTTAAATTATTCACGAGTCTTTCATCGTAAGCATCGGTAACTGATATAACAGTTTTGTGTTGTTCTTGTTTTATAATAGCACGTTCTCTTGCCAATTCTGCTTCAAGATTTTGTATTCTTGTTAACAGGCGTTTATTTTCTCTTTCTTGAACTTCTTTATTTCTATATAACAATAATTTTAATTTGTATAAATGGTTACATCCTTGACTATTAAACACGTTTTTGTCGTCTAGTTTATTAACGTAATTACTTACCTTAGTTCAATCGCGAGTAGCTGTTTCGTTGACTGTAAATCGTCTCTGACTTTATCAATGTCGTCCATTTCGTCAATATCCTCTTCTTCGGCAGCAGGGACCTGAGAATTTCAAATAAACTGTAAATGTGTTAACACGCAAGTAAAGCTTATTAAAAAATATACAGGCTTCTCGGGATTTTTTTACATGCTCACATGTTTGTATCAAATAAAGGTTGTAATAATTATATTTTCTCAGCTTTAGAATTAAGCATCACATACTTCTGTTACTCCTGGTACGATTATTCCAGAAGGTGAAGCGGCAAGATTTGCCTGCGACATCGATTTCTGTACTTGTTCCTCTATAGTCATTTGTCTTCTGAATTTTCTTAAACCTTCTAAATTAGGTTTACTCCTGTCATTACACTTGACTTTTTTAAGTCTTATGCCTTTGGAAATTTCTTTTAGCAGCTCATTATGTGAGTTAGGCTTCTCTGATTCGAATATGAATTGGCCTTTGTTTTTAACAACTGCCGATCTTGTGATGATGGGGCTTGATCTGTAAAAACAAAAATCCGGAAAATAACAAAATAATCTTTAGTTTTGTAGATTTCAAAGGATTACATACACATTCTTATGATGAAGTACGTAAAGAGGTTATGTTAGCTGGTGGTTCATTGTCTATTGCTTTTTACTAACCTATCATTACAGACGACATGTTTAAGTTTCCTTCCTTGCTCAACTTCTTTCATCATGTCACTCCAGTCGGGCCTCTTTCTCGGTCTACTGCGTAGTGACTCTATTTTCTTCAATTTAGTTGGATCGAGGGGCGACTTCTTGAATTCCGGCGGAGGAGGCATCTTTGGTGGCAAAGGTGGCGGCATTGGAGGAGGTGTAGGCTTTAGCAAACCTAGAAGTATTTGATTAGTGGTTTAACTAAATAAGTATTTACAAACACAGGGTATACGAAGTACACTTTAAAACAAAACAAATATTCGTATGCGAGTTTTTGCTACACCATGTAATTTGGCAATAAGTTAATTAATAATTTCGCTTAGTCATCGATTGGAATTATTAATCAAAAGGATAAAACTATAGAAAATACTGGTTAGTTATATTTCTATGGCGTATTAAATTCTTAACTCGTAGAAGAAAAAATAAACATTCATACCTCTGAAATGCAGATCGTTATTTAAATCAGGCATTTTCATGTATCGAACATTAACCAGTAAAAAGTTTCTATCACAAACAATAATAATTCTGGAATACACTAAAAATTTAAATTCCGAACATCACCAGACCAGAGACAAGTTGGTGTGTAAACTGACTTGTGCATTTGCACCTGAACGAGAGAGGCACGCATGCGACGCATGCGGAACTGCTTGCGACTATTTCAGACCAGATTTAGACCACAAACGTTGTCTCGCGCACAGGAGATCAAAAGGTAAAGGATTGAAATAGCGAGCTAACTCAACTAATGAGACAGCAAACGGTAAATATGACGTACATAAGACATTACTTTCAGGTAATCATTGTCAATTGAATGTTATCCCACAATTTAGAGTATAATACAACAGTGATATATTTTGGACAAAATTACAGTTTTGTTTTATCGGAACTTTTGATACAGTCTTCACATCAATTCATCCAAAAAAGGTACGTTATCGTTTTTGAGAAACTAGACCGTATTTATTTATAATGGCATGCATCAATTTAATTAGTACTATTAAAGAAGTGAAATCAGCTAAGTCTTTAAATAAAACTGAATAAGCATAGAATTTTACACCCACATCGTTTAAAATTGACGAACAATTTAAATGGAATATATTATAGAGTAATGCTTCTTGGCAATGTTACCCATTTACTAAGTCCAGGTAAAAATTACCTTAGCTATAACACCTATTAGTCTTAAACCCTTTTGAAGAAATATAAATAATTTAGACTAAAATAAGGTTAGTTTCTGGGAATAATTTTTAGTTAGGGAAGTTTACTTACTTCTCAAGCTCTCGTTTTTCGTTAGCGTGTGCCCTTTAGGTATTTCGTTAGCCAGTGTTTTGTCTATGTTCTCTTTTACTCTTTCGTGCAACGGGTCCCGCCATTTCTTCATGTTGACTTCGTCTTTTGATGGTGCTTTTTGTAACGATGTTTTCCGTGGTGCAGGAGGAAGCTGAAAGCAAGATTATTCAAAGCTTAATTATTACAATTCTCAATGGTTTGTAAATAGAATGAGAGTTCAGAATGATATATTATTATGTTATCCAATAATTGTTTTATAGACGTAATCTTTGGTCTGAACTAAACGTATTGAAGTTATTATTCACCTTTGCTGTAGGCTTTTCAATAGGTGGTTTGGTAGCCATTTTAGAATTGTCTTGGGAATTCTCTTCTACTTTAGATTTGGCTACGACTTGTGTCTTTTCTTCTGTTTTTGATTTGTCGGCAGTTTTTCCTTTCTCTTCTACTTTAGAATTTTCCGATGGCTTTACTTTTTCTTCTACTTTTGATTTAGGTTTTAGCTCGACTTTCACTTTTTCTACCGGTTTTTCAGTAAGTTTACTGTCTTTTTTTACCGAATTAGCTGGAAGTTTTCCATTTGTCGATTTATCGACCGATGAGTTGTTCTGTTTTATGCCATTTTTATCAGGTTGCTTTTGATCAACAATAGTAACAGTTTTGTCTTTAGCCTTATCATCAATAGTTTTAACACTTTTTAAAATTGGTCTTTCTGGTACTTTGTCGTTCTTTTCTTCTGAATTTATTGTTTTAACAGTTTTCAAGTTAGATTTTGTAAACCGTGGTTTCTCATCAGCTGGTCTATTTGCTTTATCGGCCTCCTTCGCTGCCGAAGGCTTGATCAGTTTTTCTTCTACTTGATCAGATACACCGTTTTCTGTTTTTTCTTTTATTGTTGTTTGCTTTTTTAGTACAGCTGTAAATAAAAAACATTACTACAATAATTTTAAGTATATATCTAACAAATTAATCGAGAAAAACGCATGTCTCGGCAGTGGAAACTGTACGCGGACGGTAATTTAAGCATTTATGTGTTAATACTAAAAAAAGTAAATGTAGACCACAGTTACTTTTCTCCTGCCTTTAATATTGCAATTTCCGAAATGCGTATTTCGTTTTGGAATTTCCAAAAAAACAATATAATCACGCCCGCAACGAATAGAATAGGTAGGAATAGGAAAGGAGTAGGCAGAGTCCGAGCAGAATTCAGATTGATCTTCGTTTTAATTTACAATATGTAATTAATTAAGAACACGTGTTGCGACCCCGTATCGGTGCATTTGATGACATTGCATACGTAAATAAACATGGTCGCTGCCAAGATGGCCGACCTTCGCTGGTTTAACGTGGTAATTTAATTTTTTTATTGATTTAACAGATATTTCCTAAAATATTGATAGAATAATTATACGCAGAACACTGAACTTCTAGTGGGTTTATGGTCTACCTTGGACTTGGAATTTCGAAGGAACCTCACCATTGTTTCATCTAGTCAGAGACTATTAGTTTAAAATTCGAGTGACAGAAAACAAATGTATTTTGAGAATACGCTAAGTTTATGTATACAGGAATTTATTCCTCTAAATTAGTTACGATTTCTATTTCCCTTTCTCTACTATACGCCAGAAAAACTAGTATCGTATTTGTGATTATTTTATATTGTTTATTTTACGATCCGTTTTGATTATTCTTTACTTCTGCCATTCAATTTATCAGAAGATACTTATTTGTAATATTTAAATTCACATTTATCGTACTCTTAGTACGATGTAAACTATTGAATTATTTTTGGCGTTGAACACATAGCGCGTTTTGATAAATCATAGCGTAACCCCGACAACTTGGTTTATTTTGTAAAATGTCTGTCCTCTCTAAAAATACCGCATCTCGTTTGCGTTGCCCGTTGCCCGCCTCCGAATACATATCTTTGAACTGTAACAACGTTCTGAAATACGTCACATTACGAAATCGGCGAGATTTTAATTACCCATTAAAGAAATTTACTACATTTTATTGACTATTTAAAATTTAAACCAATTATTAGAAAACATAAGTCTTCTAGAAGTACTAAAGATGTTTTACAGGATAAAAAAAAACAATCAAAATAAACGGTTTTGATTGTCGTGTTTCTACAAAGGTTAAGGACAGTGTTGCCATATAAATAAAACAATACATAAATTACACAGACTATGAAATGCTTTGATAATGTCAAAAAAAGGTAATATTTTTGCAAGTCATGCTTACATAAAAATTCGAAAATTAATTATTTCATGTATTACCTAAAGCAGATCTATACTAGACGTAGGTTAATTCCTTAATTGTGTAACACATATAAAAAACTTGAAATGAGTGGTTAGATAATCACACTTCTTCTATTGGCGTCTTCAGAATTCTCTCATAACACTATTGGAAGATAGCAAAATATTCGTCCGAAATGTAGAAACAATCCCGAAAAGACACTTTTAGATATCACAGTTTAGCCACAAAACTCCAGGCTGGCAAAGTTATGAACGCTTAAAGTCAACTGTTCGAAATCCATGTGCCCTGCCAAAGTTTCGGGCGAGATGTTGACGTCACCATGTAGGTAAATATATATCAACCTACATACATATGCACTCTAAAATATAGCCCTCTTTCGAAGTGGCGTCGATGAAAAATAAACAATTTTGCCACGCGCGCGTTCTCGATTTATTTAGCTCTCTACATTTTTATAATACGGTACAATCTGGGTGAATGAAATTACATTTGACTGATTCTTAATAAATTATAAAAAAACCTCAAAAAATACCTTCACACCATCATTTATTTTTAATTTTTAACAATGAAGTAGTGCTTTAATTACTTGTGTCTACGATAAGATTACTTGTTAACATGTGGGACTTCAAACTAATTTGAAGTTAAGTAAGTAACCAATTCAAGTTATTTAGAATTTTATATTATAATAAGCTTTGTCGATGTAATTGATAAAAATAGACGAATTAAGACACCAAAAATACGTCCTTCATCTTTTGGCGTTAGTAAACTGCGTGCGCCGGAGTGTCGCCGTTTCGATCCAATTACAATGTTGTGCGAGCTATTCTAGTTAATATAAACATTGTGCGTAGTCCCCATACATATTTAAATTTTAACAAAGATTTTAAAACAATCGACATAATTTAGTTTCGTATAATTATCGCGTTAAAAACATAAGCAAGCATTTCAATTTCTTTGGGATGCTAAATGGAAAAATCATGTTTCGTTGAAAAATAGTCACGCGTCAAAACTTTTCTCTTAATACGTGTGACCTAAATTTACAGAAAAATATAAAAATCTTGTTTTCGAATAGATAAAAGTTTTCGGCGCTCGCAGCAAACAAAAAAAATCATAGTGCGCGAGCGCCTAAAGCCACGTAGTATGTTGCATTATTTTGGTTTATACAGTTTGTTCATATTTTATGGGTCCAGTCATTGTAGTAATTTAATTCGTATGATTGAAAATTGTGTCGTAAAGTAAAATAAGGCCGACTTAAAAGTCTATGCAAACTTTCGTATTTATTTGGGTTTTTTCCCTTTTTTTTAATCCAGTCTATGGTATGTTGCTATGAGGAATGAAATCATTTTGAACATCAGCCATAACATAGAAACTAAACATTTTTATATATAATAGTTTTTTTTTAAATATGAAAGTCTTAAAAATATACTCACGTTTCAACGGTTTGGTTGTTGGTTCATCAACGGATTTCGATGTGTCCATCGTCTTGGTCGTACTTTCGACTGGTTTTAGTTTCTTCTGGGTCCATGGTGGTGGGGCCTCAGTATCCTTGTCTTTGACCCAAGGAGGTCTGAAGCTGTCCCGTCTCGCACTATTGTCTCTGCTCACGTTACCGATCGGCATCTTTGTCTGTGGTCAAGAGTGTAGTGTAAAGTGTAATGTTTCTAAGACCTTACGATCCCTAAAAATTAAAATTGGAACCTTTTTAAATGAGAGCCTAAGTTTTATGAACAAAGTGTTTTTGACTAACTCTAAATGTCTTAAATTCCACAACGAAACATTAACAAAATAATTTGAGAGGGCGTTATCGAAGTCGTTTACAGTTATTTTGTCTCCAATAAACGTTTATTATACGAGATAGTTATTTTTGGAGAGCTACTGGAGTTTTATTTTAGTTTTTTTACAGTCCACATTAAAATCAGTATTTATAAAGAAGCCAGATATTTGTTTTGTTGCCGTGTTGTCTCTTCTCTTTAATTAAGGCTGTTCTTTCTATGTGTAATAAAATGTACCTAATATTGCTTGCCTTTACTCGTATTTGATAACAATATCTATGATAATTAATAAATGATAAAAGTATAGGGTTTTTGTATTCAGTAACGATAACTCTACTAGCCCTGGGCGAATTTGTAGCGCCCTTTTATTACTATAACGAAAATACTAAGTAAGTCGGAGACCTGTAGCACCTCTTTCTGTCTAATGCCCTGGGTAATAGTCCAAACGCTCTACTCTAACACCGTCACTGCTTTCACTTTAATTGTATTGAAGTGTTAGTGATAATACTAATATTGAGATTATCTTCCTTGTCGATCATTTTGTATTGTAAACAATAAAAATCGATAGTGTTAATATTATTCTAACATTGTGCAATGTCGATAATGGCTTTCGCACTTGATGTTTTGGATTTACTATTCATCATCAGCTACGTACGTAGCTATACGTCACCACCGAGGGGCTTGCAGCCTACCCTAAGTTAAGGCTGATTAGGCCATAGTCAACCACGCTGGCCAAGTGCGGGTTGGTTGACTTCACACATATCTTTGAATTTCTTCTCAGATATGTGCAGGTTGCATCACGATGTTTTCCTTTTACTATTATTAGCGTTAATTTTGGCTTGATTTTTTCAGAATTATGCAAAGAATGATTTGAATATTTGATTACGAAATACTTTATCACATCAATTTCATTATAACCAAATGAAATTGGAACTTTTCACATCAAATTCAACATCGAATGTTCCAAATTCAATTGCAAATTACTTTATTAAAATTTATTTAAGGCATGCGCATAATTATTTTAATTTTTTATAAACTATAACGGATAAAACGTATGCGTAAGTTTCAAACAATTCATTATAAAGATAGCACGCGATAGCCAAAGATTAAGCGAATAGTTGGCAATGATTATATTTATCCAGACTTTACGATACTGTTATATACTTACTATATACTGTCCTATATCTATTAGTTTTAAAACCCAAGAGAAATGGCTTACAACTGATATTTTAAATTTTACTAATGTATCGTTAAATTATATAATATTATAGTTAATGTTTGTTTGGATATAAACAATTGTTGACCCAAAAAATTAAATTTAAATCGTAATGCGGTGTAGAAAATATTTGGATAAGCCTTTATATTATTGAAAATTAATATAAATTCCATTTAAATAGGTCAAATACATTAAAAACTATTTGCTAAATATATTATTGACAGTAACAGATTAATAATTAATAAGAGTGTATCCGATGAATGTGTGAAGTTTTTAATAATCTATTCTTACGTCAATCCACTTGTGTCTGTGTGTGTGTATACACGATAAATTCACTTGAATAACACACCAAATAACACTTCTATATATCAACTTGTCATATTTTTCGTATGTATTAGTAGTAATAACCAAGTTATTTTGTGAGACGAGGCTACGTTGAACGCGCGTCCGCGACTACCAATGGTATTTGAGTTCGGAACAATTCTGTAGAATGTATAAATAGGTGTGCCAAGGCGTGTACAAGAATCAATCCTATCAACATATTATATTTGACTCTCAATCATGCTTACGTATTAAGATGAATTACGCTTACAACCGCACACAGAGTAACACACTAAGGGACTGCTTTAGTGTAGATTTTTATACTTAATCGGGAGAGAGAACACTTAGTAAAGTATGTGGTATTAACTTTCAGTTTGAAATGTTGTAAGACTGTTTAAATTTTTTTGATTACGCAAAATCTCGTACAAAACCTAAGTTTTTTGTTCTGCATTAAAGTTCTCTGAGTGTGACGTTACTTTATTTTAGTTATAATACTGCTGTGTTTAAAATTGCATTATGAGAAAATTAAAATAAAGCTTGCATTGTCGTGTTATATTTTTTCTGTCGACCGGATGAGTTTTAAAATAAAATCGTTCCTCCAGCGTCACAAGAATCTATTTTAGAAGATTTGCCGTCTCGAGTCTGCCTCGTATACATGGGATTAATGACGAAGACTTGTTATTTTATTTATTTAAAGATATATTAATAGGAATTAATTGAACAAAACTTGAATTAACTACGATTATTGAAAATATAGAAACAAAATTAATAGTTAGACAATTTCTTTAGATCGGTAAAAAATTGACGTTTAAAAGGATATAACAAATAATGGAGATTTTTACTATTTTGCTGAAATTAAATATGCGAAGTAACAAAACATATGTTTACGTATATTTTGATACAACACTAGGTGTCGCCCGCTACTCCGCCTCGCTGAATTAAAAAAGAAAAATAATTCCAGACTACGTTACATTTGTATGTCAAATTTCATTCAAGATCCGTTCAGCCACTCTGGAGATACTTTCAAACATCCATCGATTCATCTAAACATACGCGTTTATAATATTAGTAAGATTAGGATTTAATGCGGAAGAATATGTTTAATTTACTATATTACAAGTTTGTGTAATAACGTCCAATCATTAACATTTAACCGCTGGACTTGAGCCAATAATGCTGGAGTTTGCTGGCGGACGCAAAGGTTACTGAAGGTGTGTCCATTTTATCGACACAAGACGTTCTGCTGGGCTGATCATGATACTCGAAATATTTCATTATATCTTTTCTTGTTTTTTCCTTCCATATTCAACCCTTTTTGTGAACCTTACCTTACCTTACCTGCAAAAACATACTCACATCTGTAATCCACAGGCACATCCAAAGATTACTTTTAATTTAGAGCGGTCTCGTGTCTTCGGCGTTGGTGCCCCTGTTTAAAAATAATATTATAACATTTTATTAAATCTTGTCTAGGTTTTTTCTTAAAGGCGCTGTTGGCTGTTTATTGTTTTCTGAATAGGCGTTATAAGTCTTCATTTTCATGATTAGATGACGCAATTTCCGGTACGATTCTAATCTTTGCGCATTGTCTTCACCCGGCGCCGATCTTCCGGCCACGCCTGCAACTGCGCATTATAAATATAATTAAGGGTTGTCACAAAAAATGGATTATAGAATAAATTATTTTTTAACTAAATAATAAATCTTTATTAAGTTAAAATAAATGAGACATGAATTGTGTCGCATTCTGTTTGAAACATTTCTTTGGAAAAGCTTATTATGATGAGGACTCTTTCCTTATGGTGTCTCAAACCTATTATTATTTACTTGTAAATTAATTGAAGCCATCAAAAAAAATTATTTTAGAGTGTATTGAAATGGAACGGGTCTTTGTTGTTTGGCAACCCTTAAATCAAGAGCTATTAGGCACACCTATTGATAACCATTAGACCGAAGAAGATGTATTGCTTATAATCTTTGTCTACAAAAGGACAGAGGAGGAAATGTCTAATCTAAATATTTATAGTACTACTACAAGTAACAAGGTCGTCTAAGCGTAGTCTGCTATAATTTTATAAATGGCATTTAAAATGTACTTATTATTATTTAATTGCAATCAAAATAATTAAGGGTAATAAATAAAAGCCGGAGTTAACGAAACAATATAATAAATTACTAGAACTAATTTTAACCTATAATAGTTTTCATTCAACTTTTTCTTTTGACATTAGGTTCAAATCTATCCCAAGTCGATATTTCATTGAACAGCGCTTGGCCCGGGCATTCTGTTTCTTTAACCTGTCGATGACCGATCAGCTTGTAGTTACGACTAATGTAGCCTAATTCTACGCCTTTGGCTATCAGTTTCTTTGCAGTTTGAAGCTGATGGGCTGGTGGAACTGAAGCTGTGAAAGGAAAACAAATATTAATTATTGCTAAACTGCTGACAGAATTTCTATCAAAATTTTTCATAAATTGCATAACCCTTATATATTATAAGTAGAACATGTCAATTTAGTTACAAATTAACTTATGCGAAGGTTAGTAGAGCCTGTTAAAAAGGATTAGCAATTATTCCTACTGAATATTTGCTATTATTATAATAGGTTTTAGATTTTAAGATATTTTTCTTGACTTGGGTTACAGCTATAGACAAAATAACGTATTAAAAGTGTATACTTACAGACCCAATCCCCTATCAGTACGATACCAATGCTGACAGAATTGTATTCAGAAGCATGTGCACCAATGTTGGTCCATCCTCTACCTTCGTACACCACTCCGTCACCCCCCACAGCGAAACTGCAAATATAAATAAAGATATATAGACTAAAACACAGGTTAAAATCTATGCAGTGCCTTTGTCAAAAATGATGGGGCTACAAGCTAAGAATTTTTTTCTTGAGTTATATCAAATTATATTTGACATTTTATTAGAGGTATAGAGAGGCGATTTACAGATATTTTTGTTATATAAATAGACTTATAAACCTATTTAATAATATTGTGTAAAACTAACACATTGAGCATTCAATTTATCATAAGGCGATGTAAATATTATAAACAAAGTTATGTTTATTTGTTCGCTAACTAATCTCGTGTACGAACAAAAAATAAGTTGTATGTAGCGGCCTCACTGAGAGAACATTCAATTGTATTATTGCCTTGGTACGGTACAGTACCGAGCTATATATAAAGCTAATATAATAAAAAGTACATAAGCGTAAAACTTTTCCTTTCGTCCCCAGAATATATTACTAAGACCCACCTCTTCAAAGAGACTTACGACCTTAATAATTGAACCTTGGGTTGATGATGGCGATTTGGGTCATTATGCATGATCAAATAGCCGAAATATGTCGTTTTGTGAATGTATTCATTCGATGTCGCACCGAGATGTTTCAATTTGCCTAGGCAAAATTACAAACGAACAATCAAGATTTGCCGGTAATAGAATAACGTACTTGTAACCGATGTCAACCCAATTTCTCGTAACTTGGTGGAACTCCTGCATTGACCGCATGGCTTCCTCGCATTGATTTGACGTTTGACATGCAGGTGGAGTGTAGCTGTGATGAATTATGACGTAAGGAACAGGCAGAGTCAGTGGTCTGACACTAGTTGCAGGTTTAGATCCCCAATCGCTTCTCGTTTTGAACGTGAAAGTGTCGTAATCTAGAAAAATAATAAATTAATTTCAAATTTAGAAACGACCAGTATAAATTACAATTAAAAAGGTAAAATAGGTGGAGATAATTTAAATTTAGAACAAGATAGAATTATAACAGCTTTGTAAATCGAAATAACTCAGGAATGCTTACCAAAGTGCTTAGTTAAATATGGCTTAGGAATTCCTTGCGCGGATAAAGTCATTGATATCACCAAAATAAACAACATCTCTGCAATATTAAAAAACATATAAGAAAAATGTGTATAAATCCAACAGATTAATAAATACTGTGACTACTTTCCATGCACCAATAAGGACTCAGATTAGTATAAAGACCAGTACGATATTTAGTAAAAAAACCTTATAAAACAAGTTCGGAGCAGAATCTTCGAAAGGTCGTGTCGGTAAATGCCCCTTATTTGCGACACAAATGACGTACAGATTGATAACGATATTAGAAATCAAAATGAACAGATAGTCGAAATTATAATAACAACTTATTTGTTTAAAATCTATCTTAGTAAAGGTTAAATGAAAAATATAAGTTATTTAAAAAGAGTGTTAATTTTTGTACTCTTTTATATTCAAAGAAATATCTTACTAATATTACAAATGTGAATGTTTGGGATAGATGCATGTTTCTTAGAAGTTATTTCCAAAAGACGGCATGGAACTCAATTAAAATTTGGCATAGATGTAGAACAAAGTCTAGAAGAGCAGATAGGCTACTAAATAAGTTTTTTTTAATCAGCGCGAGCGCCAACTATTTGTGAATAAACCTCTACTACGTTCAATTGTGAATGAATGAATGACTCCTTAATTTTTTTAAAGGGCGTTAAAATGTTTTTGTACGTGTTTGAACAGTTGCTTATGGTTAATGATAAAATAAATTAATTTTATATTAAAATATCTTACCTAATATATTTCTAAGGTTTAAATTCTAAGACGTATCCGTGTCCACTGTTTGTGATTGCTGTTCTTAATGATATAGTAAGGCGAATGTTTCTTATATAAGTATGTATTGGAGTTCAGATCAACGTAACCTGGGTTCTTTACAACAGATTTCGGGGATCGTATTATGTTGTTTGTTGCCGCGTCATCTCCGCGTCTTAGTAAAGGGTATTTACCGAAGAGGATCTTGAATTGTTTTGATAGAAATTTATTTAATAGGTTTCCATTCTTGATTTAGATTGATGTGAATTTTTAGATCCCTTTTTGTTGTGATTTTTCATAACTTATGTATAAAATAGATTTATCATTGTGCCTTTTTTATATGAAAAAAAGGAAAATAAGATACTAAATAAAACAAGGAAGTCGTGGTATTTTTAGTGATTCTATTTAAATGTTTTTTTTTTAATTCTTTTTATGACTTAACGGCATTTCCTATAATAAAAATTCTGTTAATAGTAAATCTGTAAAATAAAGCATTACGCGTGTAATAAATATGTAATCCATTTTGGATTCTTGTACATTATGAAAATGTTAATAAATACCAACATAACTTATAAAGAGTTTTTTCGTTGAAGACCAGAATCTATTCAGCCAGGTTTTAAGTTTGTAGTGTGCGTATTTAGCCTTTATTTCCTTAAAAGTAACTGAGGTGAGTAATTGAAGGCTGTCCTATACTTCTTATTATTTTTGATCCTTACTTACAGAATTAATAATAAACATAGTTAGTAACCTATGTGTTCTTCCAGACTATGTTCTATATGTGTGTCAAATTAAATGAATATTCGTTCAGCCGTTCTGGAGATACCTTCAAACAAATATCCATCCATCCTTAAACATTCGCAGTAAGATTCACGGACAACTTAGCATGTCTTCCTAGGTCACTACAGATAGAATTGTGTACAGGATGATACTCCCCGAGTCCGTATCCCTTTACAACTCAATGACAAACGAAATATCTGTATTACATTGCGTCTCGTTCGAGGTTAATTAGCACAATAAATGGGGTATCTCACTCTATTGCACCAACACGTCCGCATCAAGCCCTTTCTCCTTAATTACTGATCAATTTAATAGTAAATACGTCATCGATTGAGTATTTTACCCGGTAATTAAATTGATAAACAAAAGTGACGTATATGTGACGTTTTTAAACACGTGTTATTTTAACTTTTTTTTAATGAATTTAACGGCAACGATTTACTCGTGACAGCGTGCTTGTACAGTTTGAAAAACAGTTTGTTATATAATAATGTAATGACTTCAATGATTGTGTTATAGTTGCGTTGCTGACTGTACATAGATTAATGAGTATAGTAATTTGTTTAGCAAGTTAGTAATTGGAGTTATAGAAATATCATATCTACTAATTAGCTTTTAGTAATATCAACAAAGAATTCAGTTGTGGTTTTAAGACCTTTGAAATGTATTTATAATACACCGAAGGTAAAAAAATAGTTTGCAAAAAAATTTATGCGTAGTTTTTAGGTATTAATAGAACATCTTAATGTTATTTCTTGTTAGTAACATAAATACGAATGTTTGTATGGATGGATGTTTGTTAGAAGGTCAACTGATCTCTATGAAATTAAGAATACATATAAAACATAGTCTGGAAGAACACATAGGCTACTAATTAGGTTTTTTAATTCGGCGTCGAGAAGTCGCGGGCAACCGCTAGTATACACTACATTTAAAAATGTTTGGAATCAAAATTATTAGGTAAGCATTATAATACTGAGCGAGTCCGTGTTATTAAAATCGAATCGATTATGGAAAATTTCCATAACAAGTCTTATCACCTCTATTGATTAAGTCATTGTCCGCAACAACGTAGATATAATTATTATGTGAATGATGTTATGTTATCCGTGTACGTTCCTATTTTTTTTAATTAAAAACATCGTATATGTTCATATAGGATTAGAAAACTTGGTTTGTGTCTATGGGTTAGGAAAACTAGTATTTGTTTCCTACTTTTTCTTTAAACTGATTTTTTTTTTCATACAAACTTATCCTACATTAGGTACTTTTTGCAAGTCTTCCAAATTCTATATTTCATAATACTTGATGGTATACGTGGGGCTGTCAACATTCACTTAACTAAGATGCGAAAACTGGGACGAAAAAAGAACGACTAGAAACCACTTATAAACGTTTAACTTCTAGACGGATAGCGAAAGGAAAGGATTGTCTGTGGCTTATTTCACACCCCTAATTCTTACCCAAAAATTATGGAAAACATAGAAATTGCAACGCCGAATAAGTCGGGTCAAATACGAAGTGGCAACCCTAGCTATATGTACGTATATTTTGATAACATTAGTGAATCATACGAAAAGTTTTAATAAAATTAAAATAAATAATAATTTCACTGTAGTATAAATAATATCATCAGATTTCATTGTCCATTATATTTCCAATTATAATTTATTTTATACTAGCAGTATCCGTGACTGCGTCTGCTCGAAATTCAAAAATCTCGTTATAAATAGCTGTCGCCCGCGACTCCGTCCGTGTGGAATGAAAACAAAATTTAATTCGTTCCCAGCAATTATTCGAATTTTTCTCACCTTTTAAACCTTCCCTAGACATCCTCGAACATTTAAAGACTAAGATAAGATAAATCCGTTCATTCGTTCTCGAGTTTTAGTGAGACTAACGACGATTAACGATTTTTATATATATAGAATATAACCTAAGCCACCCGATGATAGATTAGTTTAGACCAGGCATAGACCTTCTGTGGGGTCCAGAAAGCATCATTTCCAAGTTTGATTTCAAGTCTAGTGATTTAGTATTTAGGTCTCTAGATTGATTATAATTTTACTGAAATAATAATTACTTAAAGACGACGACGAGAATAATACTTATATAAAAAGATGACCGTCGCACCTTGCCTTACTTATGACTCATAAGACATTATCCTAAATAACTCTGGCAAATTAACTTTTTTTCTTGACGGTCCACGTGTTCGTGTAATGGAACAATATTATGTAAGCTTTGCGGTGATTCCCCTTAAAAAGTACGTTAACGTTAAGTTACATAAGTATTGTAACAAGCACTTTTAAAATGAATATAAATATGTGTCAACCAATCCGCACTGGGCCAGGATTGGCTATGGCCTAGTCACCCCTAAAATTAATCAGGTTTTGCGCCCCTCGGTAAGGATGTATTAAGCTACGACAATGTGTCAACGTTTTTATGTGGATTTAATTTTATCAAAGTAATTTCGTAAGGTCTCGGAGCCTAAGTCACGTGTGTCTTAGGGTAGGCTCCAAACCCTTCGGTGGGGACATATCGTGAGCTGATGATGATTTTCGTAAGATTACGAGTTATTATGTTATAGTTTTTTTTCATCGAATTCATGACATACGTAGGGTTTTTATTCTATATCATTTTGGGCCCTAAGACTTCTTAAGAAGTGTAAACTTCATACTTTGCCGCGGTTCCTAACTATATTACGGCTTTCTGTAGACAATAGTTTATTTTTGTTGAAATGACGGAAGTCTGCCAACCACGGGATCTTGGTCTATATCTAACTTAATCTGAATATTGTGTACTGGTTATAGTTATTAGTCATACTAATATCGTGTATGAGGTGAGTGTAACAGATTATAATATGAAAATAAGTCATTCTTGCAATGATTACTGTCCAATTTAATTTCTTTGATCGATCCTTTACATGTTATAATTTGTAAATCTATCCCACGTCGTGATTTCCCTGAAGAGGGCATTGCCGGGGCATTCTGTTGGGGTGACTTGTCGGTGTCCAAGAAGATTGTAATTCCGACTTATGTGGCCCAGCTCTACACCTTTCGCTATCAATCTTTTAGCAGCATTCAGTTGTCTTCTAGGCGGTAAACGAGCTGTAATAATGAATAGGTTAATTAAGAACAAATTCAAAAACTCGCAGGTTTTAGAAAAAACTGTTCTTATACAAATATATCAATTTTTATTGAACAAGAAGTATACCTGTCTTCAAATATCTTGGCGGATCTAACTTCGCGGAATACGCTGCGCAGAACACAATTTTAGGTGTAGCGAGACGTACCGGGATACGGGACCTTGTGCCACCAAGATATTTGAAAAAGCTAATATTTAGATACTTACAAACAAAATCGCCGATAAGGACAATCCCAATGCTATTAAAGTTGTATCCTAGAGCGTGGGCGCCCACGTTGTTCCAACCGCGGCCTTCATACACCACGCCGTCGCCACCCACCGCGAAACTGAAAGTTAACATATTGGAGAGCTCCACTAAGTGAGAAATATCTGGAGATTTATCTAAATAAGTATCGCCTATACAAATTCAAGAACAAGAACTTTCAATCAATGATTTAAAAAAATGCTTTGCCTAAAGAAAGAAAACACTGATTTACGACTTAAATGTAACAGAAAGTTCAAAGTGTTTGGATTTCGATTGATCGCTGAATCTTCTGCTAGCTTTACGACTCTTCATATTTCTTTACCATAGAGTTACGACCACACTACGTCTTTTACCATTTCTTTAGTGTGGATTTCTCATATCGAACTACGCTGAAATACTGAGATACGATTTAACGGTGCTGATTGCGGTAGTCAAGTAACCTTTACCACGTCGGTTCATATACATACCTATATCCAATGTCATCCCAGCCCTGGTGCAGTTGATGTGAGTTCTGCATACTCCTCATTGCGTTGATACACTGGTTGGTAGTTGAACACGGGCCGGGTATGTAGCTGTGGTGAATGATGACGTAAGGCACTGGTAGAGAGAGCCGAACTGTCCTCACAGGCGGCCGCGCGCCCCAGTCGCTACGAGACATGAACGGAAAGTCGTAGGCTGGAACACGTAATATATTTTTTTTTATTTTACTGTTGTTTATAAATATTCCAAGTGAAGTAGGCTTGTACTAGATTAAACAACTCAATTGTGATCTAAGCAACGTTCATAATAAAAATGCATTTTTGCTCTTGGGCCCAGCTTTTGGTAGATAGCATCATCATCATCAAATATGTATAAAATTAATTTCTTGGCTAATTTCTAGTTTATACTGTTGCCGAAGTATCCACAGACGTTTCGTTATACAAAATGAATTAGTGAAAATCATAACATACCGTAACTGACATCTTCATCATAAGGTTTTGGAAAACATTGACCGCTCGCAACCAGCGCAAGGAGAATTAAACTTTCGTAAAATTTCATTTTTTTCTGAAAAAATAGTGAGACATTTCAAAGTTATTATATCTATGCTTTTTAATACAAAAAAGGAATTAATTTATTACCACACTAGCTGTAGAACGCGCGGAAATAAAAAAAAAACTTTATTAGTTGCTTATGTGTCATTCCAGACTTTGTTCTATATGCCAAATTTCATTAAGATAAGTTCAGCCGTTCTGGACATTGCTTCAAACAAACATTCATCCATCCATCTAAATATTCGCATTTATATTATTAGTAAGAAGCAAGATTGATATACAAAAGAGTTTACATTACGTTTATTATTTACGTTTACATTCATCATAGTTTTTCAAAGAAAATGATCGGCGTGCGACTTATCCATATCTACTAAGGTCAGTGACCTCCCTAGTTCTAACAATCATCCATCCATGAATACATCCAAACATTCGCATTTATATTAGTTAGAAATATTTTGACGTAACATCGGAAGACTATATAATCAATCGATAATTATATCTACGTATAATGAAAAGATCTCGTAGATATATTTCAGATTGCAGTGATTGTAAATACGTATAAAAGATGAAGAAAGATTAGACAATCCAAATTTTATACGTGATACCTTTAAATAATTAAACTATTGAATAAAACCCTAAACACTGACTCGATCCATGAACATATGTTCCTATCTTACTAATATTATAAATACGAACGTTCGAATGGATGGATGGATGTTTGTTTGAAGACAGAACGAATCAACAGATTTTGATGAAATTTGGCAAGCATATACAACATAGTATGGAAGAACACATAGGCTATTAATTATTTTAAATACCGCGCGGACGGTGTCGCAGGCAACAGCTAGTTAGTATATAAATAAGAAGACAATAAACTTTGGGCTCTATTACAAAATAATAAGTACTTATTTATGTTTTTATGTAACGCAATTTAAGCTTGTAATGAAGTTCAAGCTATATTTTGAGTACTCGTAGCTTAATGAGCAATAGGTAGATATAATTTGAAAGGTTTATTAACCAGACACATGGCTTGCTTTAAAAATAACCAATAATAAATACATACCCACATTCCATAAAACATGTCTTAAATTGGTATAAGTCAAGTTAAAATTAGGGCACACTTTGCTATAACTCTTATAGTAGGTAATTACGTAAAGGAAAACGTACCTTATTATTTTAATGATTTAATATTTAATATCACAGTATATTATACTTTAATATCGGAAGAGACTTAATTTAACAACTAATGAAATGATGAAAATCCTATCGTATATATGGAAGTGATAGCCTTTGATAATTTTTTGGTACCTCAGATTGATCAATGAATGATTATCAATGCTTTACTGATAAGTTTCAAGTGATGTTTTACGATTAGTAGGCACAGATTTATATGATTAGACAGTGGTTTTTATTATTTAGAGGCAAACAAACAGTCATATGAATTTGCGGAAATGACAAATAGACCGCTGCCCATGGTCATCGGCAAATGCAAATGCGTGTCTACCTTTATTTGATGGAGGGAAAGACGCACGATGTACAAATAGGAGGAAATATTCTCTTATTTCCTCTTCATATGTCCTCCATCAAGACCCTTTCTATCCTTTCCTTATTTTAGACATTATTAGCTAGATTCCTTTTGCGCAAATGGCGCGCTTTCACTACAAAGTGAGGTGTCAGAATCATTAGTAAGGGGACATAAATGTCGACATTATAGTAAGGCTAGTGTTATGCCAGTACACCGGCAGAGACAGATTTTCTTCCTAACACAATACGTATAATATAAGACAAATTTAGACTAAATTGGACCTCCAGAACGCACACTAATCAGACTATATGTACGTGGAATTACTTCTACTTCACGCCTATCATCTGTATTGTCGTGGTATTGCACTGGGAGAATCTGCCTATATAAAAAGGATAGGACAACATCGTAAGTGTTAACTGCAACGTTTCAGAAATTACTTAATAGATATAATATGTTATCCCAAAAAAAGTACTTTAGATAATAAATCTATCTATCGGTTTACGTAGCTTATTTTATCGTAGATGGTGGTTGAATTTAATTATGCGTTATGTTACCTGGGTGATATTTTTTTGCTGTTTTATCTTATAATTTTTTTAAGTACCAATAAGTTTCCTGCATTGACTCCGTAATTAACAAATCTTATGTACTTCGAAATACTAAGTTATATGACTACTAATAGTTTGTAATATTCAATTAAATCGATACTTACATTTCATATTATTTAACAAATATGTCTATTTAATTATATTCTATATAAAGCTACAGAAGTTTGTGCGTAATTTTAGTACCAACAACACCATTGATTTTATTCCTTCGAATGGGTTTACTTACTATTTCATCTTCAATATAAATAAAATATTTTTATTACTCATCTATTGTGACTTTTAATAGTACCTCCTCTAACAACCGGAAGCTTTATCTATGTCTGTTTACGTTTAATAATTATTTTGAAGGGAAATACCCTGTTCCTTAATTACTTAATCTATAACTTTACTAACTGTCACCTGCGACTTCGTCTGCGCGGAATTAAAAACAAATTTAATAAGCCTATGTTCTCTTCCCGACTATGTACATCTATGCTAAATTTCAGCGAGATCCGTGCAGCCGTTCTGGAGATACCTTCAAACAAACATCCATCCATCCATCTTAACATTGGCATTTATAATATTTTATTTATCAGTAAGTATTAAACTCTGAGAACGTAAATTGTATAACGCATAGCATAGTTTTTAATAGTTTTATTTTATTTTTAGAGTTGGCACCTTAATTCGCCGAAATAGCGAAGCGACCGCAGCGCATAGACACGCGACCCGGTATAGACGGAGGCGGGGATGCACAGAATGAGGAAAATTCCTCTTCTTTTGCGTCCACTCCTCTTTCAAATCAACTTCTCCTTCCCTTCATTTCCTTATAAGAAAACGGTGAGCAGAAGGCGTGGATAAAGTCTTCGACGCGCACACTCGTCAGATGATACGCGGAATTGATTCCACTTCACGCGATTCTTCTGTGTTAAAATAATAGGAATAATATTAAATGGATGTATATTTGAAGCGCCAATAGCCTAATGGTTAAGGGTACGGATTTCCGATCATGAGGTTTGGGGTTCGAATCATGCCATTCGACTATTGTTGAATCTATGCTTGTGATAGAGCTTAGTTGGAATGGTACAAGAAATATTGGTAATTGAACAAAAATCTGCTAATATTTTCTAATAATAAAAATAATAATAGTTTAAATACGTACGGATAAAATATAACAAAATCATTCACCTAAATATAGTTTTCCTTAAAACATCTTTATTTCTAGGAAAATGATTGTTATGTTAGTATATCGGTAAGGGCATTCCGGGATTGTACCTTATTGTTGTCTTTGGCGATTTGTCAGAAATCTGACTAGGTCGTTACAACAGTATCATTCCGATGTCAAAAATGACGATGTTAATATTAATTATTGGAAATTTAACTGTTCTTATGAATGACATAACTTGTAATTGGTAGAGTTAAGTAAATTACGAGTTGACAAAGAGTTAATTAAATCTTTTGAAGGTACCCTCGATATAAAAAAAACTTAACATTTACATTTTTTTTAAATAATAGCAGATTTTTTTTTGTAAATTTATTAATTAATTTCTTTTACCATTCCAACTAAGCTCTAAGCTTGTGCTTATGGTTATGTGCTTATGGTTTACGACAATAGTCGAATGGCGGGATTCGAACGCCCGACCTCGTGTTCGGAAATCCGTACCCTTAACCATTAGGCTATTAACGCTTAAATTAATTAATTAGATCAAAAGAACCTAATATGTCACCTACACACGTTGGGATTTGCATGACGGTTCTGATCATGCATAATCCATATGTAAACTTAACGTGGCAAAAGAACTAACTAGAGTGCCACAGCGACCTAAACTAGGCCTTGGCCTCCGATAGTAAAGATGTCCACTTTTCTCTATTCAGCGCTATCACGATGGATTCCTAGATTAGGAGCTTAGACCTTTTCCTACTGGGTACGCCAACTAAGCGTCGTTTACTTGTTTGTTCCACGCATCTAATAAGAAACTCGGCTCCTGTCGGACGGTTGTAAAACCTAGCGTGTGTTGCTTGCATGCTTGTTTACAATGCAATATTGACGCCAGAAAGTCGCGAAAATAGATAAAGCAATGAATTTTATAAATGTCACGCCACTGACCCACGTAACTGGTGATTCCCCTTACTTATTTATTGATTTCTGTTTAATATTGACAAGTGAGGGATTAATTTTATGACGTATTGTTGATTTCGTCCGATAGACTAAGATCACGCTGGCTCATATCATTTTCGACATTACTAATTACTTTTTAATAAGGAGATAAAATTAAGTTGATTTGAATTGATCGTTTTTACCTATTGTTTGACGTTTACATTGATTAGGTATATTTTTTTAAACACTCGTCGCTATGTTATCACTGAAAAAAAACATACATTTGAATTTAGAACCTCCTCATTTTTGAAGTCGGTTAAAACTGGTTAAAACACACAGTTATGCCATCTTAATTAAAAATAAAAAATAACTCTTCGTTTTGAACAACGACTTGAGACCTTAAGAAAATCCTAGGAAAACCGAGATAGAGATTCTAAAATGTTTATTCTTTCTCAGCCATAAGTCGCCCACTGCCGGGCATAGGGCTCTTTCAAATATGGCCTCGATGACCGGTCCTGGGCTACCTGCATTCAGGACGCGCCTGCAACCTTGACCAGGTCATCGGTCCATCGTGCGGGAGGGCCCACCCACGCTGCGTCGACCTGTCTGTCTGTCCGAAAATTTTTTAAACTATATGAAATTATAATTATTTGACGAATGTTTTCTAATTATTAGTAATTCATTACATCTCTTTAATGTTTGTATTCAGTTGGCATATTTTGATATTTAATTAAGTTTTAACAGCGCTGGTATCTTGGACCAATAGGAACCAAAGCGACAGCGTTCAGGCGCACAGGGGCGGACAATAGTTATCCAATCACAAATAATTGTACACGCACTGTAAACAAAATTTATTTATCTTACTTCTTACTTATATTATAAATAAATTTGGATGGTAGTTTGTTACTAAGTATCTATAGAACGGATGCATGGATCTCGCTAAAAGGCACAGATGTAGAATAAAATTTGAAAGACCACAAAGGCTAGTGATTAGGTTTTAATAACTTCGCGCGGACAGAGTCGCGGGCTACAGGCAGTTTTTTATATAAGTAGTTTTTTCAATCTTTTTCTAACTTATGAAAACTGACAGATTGCAATACAGAAAATTGATATTAAAATCTTGAAAAGAAAATAGGAAAATTTTAATATTATTATGGTTTTCAAATATCGTATGAACGCAGAACACAATTTCAGATGTAGCGATGCGTAAAGGGATGTGATGGGCGGACCTTGTCCTACAAAACGATTAAGCCTTCAAAAAATATACATAAACAATTTTGGTGGTAACGTTTAATTTTTCAGTTCGCGACTCCTTCCGCGCGGAAATAATAAAAACTTAATAAGTAGTCTATGTGTTCTTCCAGACTATGTTCTGAGCCAAATATCAGCGACCATGCCGCCATTATGGAGATACTCTCTAACAAACATTCGAATTTATAATATCAGTAAGATGAAACCCTTTTCATCCCATGATGACTCATGAAATAAGAATTTTAATAATCAGGTTTCAGCACATGAAGTAATTGACTTTGGGTAATATTTGTTTATCATTAGGTTTGTTCTCGATGGGAAAGTACCGGTAACATGAGTTTCCTATAAATTAAGCTTTTAAACGTTGATTGACTACACTTCATACTTGTGTGCAGTACGCACGTGTTCACAATTATTTTCTCTTGTTATTTTTCTACCGTAACTAATAAAACAATGGCTAATAAATTCAATATAATTAGTTTGATTGTTGTTGTAATTTGCGTTGGTTTTGTATATGGATATCCGAAAAATAAATTTTATGGTAAGTTATAAATCTCGGAAAATATATTATACAAATTAATGTAAATATAAAAATAATTAAATGAAAAATGTCATATTATATTACCGTTCCCGATTCTTTTTTTTTAATATTTCTTTCTAATTCAATATGTCGGACTACAAGGCCGCTTTCGTTCCGAATAATCTCCGGAACAGCTGGACCGATTCTGATGGGACTTCGACGGGAAGGTAGCTGAACTGATGCACGAGGGCTTTTAATACAAGTCACTTTTTTAATACACATCCAACACCAATTGAAAACATCCTATATGTTAGAATAAGGTGTAACAATAATAAAAAAGTGAAAAATAAGAACAATCCTTTTGGATTACTACTAATTTTGAATTCCACAAATTATCAAGAATAACAATCTTACAGTAACATAGAATTTTCTCCTAGATCTGAAGTTCAAATACTACAGTCGTGAAGAGTGGGGAGCGACTCCAGCGACTGACAGACGACCAATAGCTACCCCTGTGGAATACGTCATCATCCACCATACCTATATACCAGCGGCATGCAACACAACACAGCAATGCTTCAACGCAATGAAATCTATGCAGGATTATCATAATAGTATGGATTGGGGTGATATTGGCTATCAGTAAGTATCCATAAGAGTGTGTGACGCAGTTATTAAGCTTATAACCGGACAAGACTGTAAACATGGCCGGGTTTCATACCCGCTTTGACCCAATATGTTTTTCGATTTTCGAATTTCACTTGTACATATACGAAGCACTAAAAATGAAAGAAAACATCGTAATGCAAGGATCAAATAACTCTATATGTCTATATGTATATTGTCATGCCAAGTTTTCGATCTAAACTAAATCGGAAGCGTCAAATGATTTTCATCCAAACGTGTTGGAAGTCTACACGGCAATAATTTCGTTCAATTTTCACACGACTAATATGTTATTGTGCACGAGTTGTAAATATGCTATTAAATATTGAACGCTGACTTGATAAGTAATGATAATTAGTTGCATTGAATGATACATATAGTATGCAATTGCGATTACTATCTTTTGAATTCGATAATTACAACAGTAAAAGATTTATCAACAGCGTCATTGTAAATAAATCACCTTATTGGTGAAAACCCTTCTTTCGGTCAAACTCACAATCATCTATCTTTGACATTGGATGTACTAAAAATATATTTGCTCAGAAATATAACTAATAGGAATAGATGTGATGATACTAAACTCATGATTTAAAGATTGGGAAAAATCCTTTCGCAAATGCATGAGCAAAAATAATGGTTTGCAAAATTCAATTTTAATTGCACATTTAAAACTGAAGGTGATCTTAATATGTATAAATAAAAATACTATTAAAATAATAATGAATTGTCAGGGGAGGGGACGCACGGAAAGGGGAAAAACGCATATTCGTTTGCCCCCGATCACATAAAAACAAACATATGTCTTTGTTTAGTTTCTGCGTTGGCAACAATGGCGGCGTGTACGAGGGTCGGGGCTGGAACGTCATAGGCATCCACGCAGGTCGCGCGAATAACCACAGCTATGGCATTTGTCTTATCGGCGATTGGAGAGGTAATAAATGATTACCCCGGAAATTTCTTCAGTAGCTTAGAGACTTAAACTTCATTTTAATCAATTGATATTTTAATAGTTGCAGTCCCACCTAAAGCGATGCTGGAATCGACAAAGCGTCTCATTTCCACCGGCGTTCAGAATGGATGGATCAGTCCGAATTACAAACTGATAGGACACAGCCAAGTTATGGCGACCGAGTGTCCTGGGACTGCGCTCTTCAATATCATATCAACATGGGATCACTTTTCAACAGATGTCACTATATTCAAAACAACTGTTGCAAAAAATAATGCTTTGAGTTAACCACACTATCTTTAATGACCGGTTTACAGTCCAGTCCAGCGATCGAAACCAGTGCTACATTTGAACTGGAAAAATGTGAACCCACACTGGAAAATACAGTGCATTCCAGTTAGAGTTTATATTTTTCAGTCGTAATCTAGCGCTTATTACAATCACTGGACTAGAATTCTGAAAACCGGACATGACTGCAATTAGATTATAATTTGCACCAAGATTTGTAAAATCCTAATCATTTCATCTGTAGAAGCATATGTATAAAAACATCGTTATTTTTGTTTTTTTTTTTACGAGGAAGCCGGCAAGAGTATCAGTAGTGGAAATTCTAGGTATGATTTTACAAAGTCATGTATTTCTTAGGCATCTGACAATAATATATTTAAATGTAAATTATTTGTTATTTTGTATTTATAATACTAATTTATTTCTATTATTTAAAAGTTAATATAATGTAAATATACAAAGTTCTTGTTTCCTTTAAAAAGTCAAAATGTTCCATTCATTATAAATATTCAGCCAATTATCTAATTATATTAAAAATATTTAAAAACAAGTTACTTCTTTATGTAAGAACAATCTTGAATAAACAAAAATCAAGGTAAAACTAAATTTAAAGCGCACAAGTACAGACTATAAAATCTATTCCTAATAAGACAAAAAGTAGTAAAGTTATTTATAAAAATATAATATAAATGTGGAAGCGGAGGATTTAATGTCAGATTCCGATTTTAAATATAATAAATATTAAGTTTTTTAAAGATATTATAACTTAATATAAACTAATCTGTACAAAACAAAATAATATCGGAAATATAAATTAGTTTATTCTGCTTTGACGGTAGTTTTAAATAAAATTATTTTTAAAAATCAAACAATTGACAGTTCGCAAGATGAAATACATTCTAACCTCAAAAGTGATTTTGTGTAACGTAAGCAAATGTACAATTAGCATTAACCATTCGTTAAAATGTAAGTTAAAGAAGAAATATGAAACAAATTTAAATTGTAATGTTACTATTAACGTGTCTGACGAAATTGCTATACAAAATAATTATGCTGTGATGTCTTCGCATGCTGTGAGTTGTAAGTGACCGACAATTTTTTCTCACAAACCAATTATTTACAATGGAAATTTTTTAACAATTTTACGACAAGGAGTTATGTTAATTTTACTTTAAATATAGTTATTTTAGCTCCTACGTACAACCAGCTGTAGCCCGCGACTCCGTCCGAGCGGAATTGAAAAAAACATAATAAGTAGCCTATGTGTTCTTCCAAACTATGTTCTGGACCGACCAAATCAGAGCGGCTGTGGATGTCCCCCTGCACCAATGTACAAAAAAGGCAGAGACTAGGGAGGAGTGGCGGCGCCTGGTAAAGCGGGTCACTGATACTTGATAACCACGACCAGTCTGACAAGACTGTAATGACGAAGAAGAAGAATGTTCTATATGTATGCTAAATTTCATTGAGATCCATTCGCTTGTTTTGGTGATATCTTCAAGCATCCATCCATCTATCTAAACATACGCATTTATATTAGTAAGATTTTACTTATAAAAATAATATGTATTCTCCATATAAATATATCAAACCGTAAAATTCATAAGGTTTGTAAATATTGTAGTTAACTTGCAGTTAATTTGAATTAACTTTAATATTAATTGCCATTAAAAACATGAGCGTATTTAGCTTCTACAAATTCAATAATACTGCATCCATGTACAATCGCAATGAATCGTTTTACAGTTGTTTTTATATGTCTTGAGTTCTGGGTTCAACTCTGATAAAAAAAAGAAATTCCCCTAGACCAATCTAAGAAAATTAAAATAAATTCATAATTCATAGCTTTTTGATTTTTTCATTTAAAATTATGCATTGAAACCCTTAACTGCATAAAAATATATACAAAATTGCGCATAGTATGTAAACACAAAATTTTATTAACTGTAAAATTTTAATATTTTTTTTAAATTTTACATTTAATAAAAATTGTATTTAGTATGAAATCCATTTGTTTTTTATATTAAATTTAACTAAAGCTAAAAATTTTAAAATAAGTAACCAAAAAGTTTTAATATTAAAATGTAATTTCTCATCTGGATTTTTTTGTTATTTCTTGTAACAAAATACAGTTTTCGTCTCGATCAATTCTCGGTCCGGGGAATAACCTTAGTGTTAACTGAACAGCTATACATATAAATGTGTGACTCGTACTCCAAATAGTTGAGAAACGACGGTGGTAAACATAAGATGTTATACGCATTTTTCTAATAACTTATTTCGTTTATTAAATTATAACAGTTTTGTACGCGACAGTATTTGATTGTATTTAACATTTGAGATATGAGTGCTTGAACACTTAAAACACTTCATCAATATAACGAGTGAGTGTTTGATTAGTTTTTTTTTTACTTGAACCAATCAAAAATATTCTTGCGTAATTTTTTCCGGAATTTAACTTTCTGAATGTACGGCACATTGTTTTTAATATTGTCATTTCCAATTTCTCTCGTACGATTTCTTTTAACATAAAATTATATTTTTAGAGTATACAAGAATTTAAAAGAGATTTTAAACACTTAGGTTGTTTTTTTTTATCTACTAATATTAGGTATGTGGTTGTTTGTTAGATGGTATCTCCATAACGGTTTCAATCTTGCTGAAGTTTGGCACACATGTAGAACATAGCCTGGAAGAACTCATAGGCTATTAATTGAGTTTCTTTTTTTAATCTCCTGCGTATGCAGTGGCGTGCGACCTCTAGTTATGTTTATAAATAGTTTTGCATATCTATGGTGGTCAAAGAATAAAAGCGAATTTGTGCAGAACACATACAAAAAGATAAAGAACTGTTAAAAACTGTTATAGAAAAGAAAACAACAATTGCCGATAAAAAGGATCGATAACACTATCAAACAGTTTATCAATATTTACTAGAGTGTGTCTTTTTTGTTTTTTTTTTCAGCGAATATATTACATATTATGTATTCATATGTCTTCGTGGCTGTGATTCTGGGGATTATAGGAATCACAATTGCAGTACCGGCGTTATTACCTGGTATGTTGTGTTTTTATATCTATAATTATTGTACATTAACGTCGGCTTCCACTGAAACATTGTCCAATCAATATCATATATGAAAATGTGTTGTGTATTTCAAAAGCGGGAACGTATTGTTCTGTTCATCGCGTAATTTCAATTTGTTAAAAACGATAAAGTAGTGTATGAACAAGCCTGTCTTTTAAATCCAACATTATGATAATGGTTCCAAAGTTGATTATTTATTTACTAACCTATTAATATAAAATAGCTTCCTTAAAAAATTAGTTACAGTTTCATATCTCTAGATTAATTAGGCAACAAACACAATGCAATTACTAGACTATTATGAAAAATTACAACATTTACGGTTACTTTACATACACAATGAAACATTTTATAATTATAAAAGTAATAATAGTCAAATGTCAAAGCGTAAAGTGTAAAGCGTGTCAATTGGAGGGTCCTTGCACTTATCGATTTACTAATGAGAAAATATTTTTACGGTTAAAATGAACCTTATAACCTTCGCAATAGATACCCATTTTGTATAAGATAAACTAATAGACTCTTGTTCATTTTATATGCTTTTATTAGTAGACTAGCTGTCAGCTGAGATTCCGTTCGCTATGTGTCAAACTATATTCTATATGAATGACAAATTTCATCGAGATCAGTACAGCTGTTCTTGAGATATCTTTAAACAAATATCCATCCATCTAAACATTCACATTTTTATTATTAGTAAGATTTACTAAGGCCTGAGACTGAGTTTTAAAAGATGGGCCTACTAACATATAATCATGCATGAAATATGTTTTGTACAAACGTGTCATCAATAAAACCCATTGGAAGTCAACAAATCATAATAAGCTCTTCTTTCCAGAACCGGGCGAGAACGAAGTATCTACATATGACTTTCCATTCGTGAATCGATATCAATGGGGGGCGAGACAACCTAAAGAAAAGACAATATTGCAAACTCCAGTGCCATACGTTGTCATACACCACTCATACAAGCCTGCTGCCTGCTATGACGCAGTGCAATGCAAGAAAGCCATGCAGAGCATGCAAAACTTCCACATGGATGACAGAGGATGGTGGGATATAGGTTACAAGTAAGTTTGTTCCCATTATATTCATTAGAGAAATCATCATCACCTCACTATACGTCCCCTCGGAGCCTATCCTAAGTTAAGGATGATTAGGCCATTAGAGAAATAGTTAAGATCTTTGTAACATTATCACGTCATATTTCCTCGGTCCGAGACACCGTGGAAACGTTCTTTAACATTTTAAAAACTTTAGCTATTATAACTTTAGCTAAAAAGAGATAGTCTTAAAGCTTTAAGTCTGTATTTTTTTTTATGTTGGCTGTAAAAAAATACAGTGCTTTATATTGTAATATAATAGAAAATTATTATAACATATTTCCATTCTTAAATCTGCATTTTTTTTTCTTTTAGTTAGCTTTTAAAGATTAATTAAATGTTTAAGAATGTTTTTGTGTAATTGACCACTGAATTATTCATAAGAATAGCTGTTTAGTTGATATATTCAAGTCTCGTACACAACAAAAACTAGTACATTTAAGGAAATTAACAATTTCCGCGTTATAAATATAAAGTCATCCGGACTTGTCGGAAGTTGGAAAGGTCCATAAATGTAATGTCACTTTTACTACAAAAGAGATAACTACCTCGGTTTAATAGAATCTTAAATAAATGTTCGTAATCAGAATTGTGCAAAACATTCTGTGTTTATCTGTTAGGAAAAATAATATTAATAACTCATTTTCCATCTCGTTTCTTTAACGCAATCTAAATAAATTAAATTTAAAAGATTATAATCAATCGTTGGAGCTGTTGGATCGACTTTTTTTTTCGACTATGTGAGTGTTTGTGCGTGCGTGTGTTACCGTGTGTCGTTGTCAATTATATTTGTGTTCGTTTCGTGTTTTTTTTTTAAATTGTAGGGTCAAAGTAACTTTTCGGATTCATCGTTCATTTAACACAAAGATTTACTCTAGCATTCGTTATAATGTTTATTAATTTATTTCATTAATCTTTAATTATTATGTTTTTTTAGCTTTGCCGTGGGCAGTGACGGTACGGTGTACGAAGGCCGAGGCTGGACTGTGCTGGGTGCGCACTCGCTGCATTTCAATACTATTAGCCTTGGCATCTGCTTGATCGGAGACTGGACAAGTCAGTTCTTTACCTTATTTATAAAATCACTTGAGGACTTCTTTTGACATTTTTCCTTTACACTGAATGTCTTTACCTATTCCTTAATAATTTATACTTCTCTAAATAGTTTTTTTTATCAATACGTCATAAAGATTCTTAAGTGTTTCACATCCGTTTAGTAGCCTATGCGTTCTTCTCTACTATGTTCTACATCTTTCAAGGCAACATTGATTTTTGAATTTTTTGTTTTTTTTCATTTTCAAACAATGAAATCCATGGAGTTGTTCTGGTGATCTCGTCTAACAAACATCCATCCATCTATATAAACGTTTGCATCGATATTAGCAAGAGTAGGTTGTTACGATCATTATAATTTACACTTTTATAATGGAATGGATTAACAGTAATTAATCATTGTTATTTTTATATTAGCCTCACTACCACCGAGTCAGCAAATAAAAACGGCAAAGGCTTTGATAGCTGCGGGCGTCGAACTCGGTTACATCAAAACCAACTATAAATTAGTGGGTCACAGGTATGAAGACTATTTTTTTTATTCTACCTTCAAATAAGATTATTTATCGTGCTGTTTTATCATCAATAACAAAGCTTCATTTGTTTTGAAGAACTCTCGCATTTAAGCTTTCATGAGTAAAAAAAAAACTTATCTAACACAAAATATTTTACACAGAAGATATGCATTGGATTTCACAATAGTTATCTTCTTTTGTTTTGTCATGGGGTTTCGGGTTGTTATTTGCTGACAGCAGTCAAAAAAATTTTTTTTTTGCGATTTTTATAAATGTTTAATCTCTCAACAGACAAGTCCGTGATACTGAATGTCCTGGAGATGTATTATACAATAACGTAAAGTCGTGGGAGCACCACGTCTCCTTCCCTGCCACCTACCTGGATCTTGTGCAGGTGAGAGAACTCCCCAAGGAAATAAAGGATAAACTTATACACGGGAATAGTACTCATATAGAAGCGTAGTATATAGACATATAAATAATATTTATGTATGCCCATTAAAGTTCCTATAAAGTTCTTATGTTTTATTTTTAATGAATTTATTAAGTTTCAATTATGATAATAATTTAACAGGATCAAGATTTTTATTCGCGCTGTTTCATGCTGAAGAAAGGCGGTCGTAACAATTAGTATCACCTGTCACTTGTTTTGACACATATTGTCGTCTCGTGCATTCTCTTTGATAAAACAGAGTCAACAATATGTACGAGGCGACAACTCGTCTTACTAATATTATAAATGCGAATGTTTAGATGTTTATTTGAAGGTATCCTCGGAACGGTTCAACGAATCTTTATGAAATTTGGCATATATATAGAACATAGTCTGGAAGAACACATAGGTTACTTATTAAGTCTTTTTAATCCGCGCGGACGGAGTCACGGGCGACAACTAGTGAACAAATAAAACACATAAGTACACATCGATTTCCACAAATAATTTTTATTTCAAAATATCCTCTTAATTAACAAAGTAAGTTATAAGTTATTCGTTACACAATTTCTTATAAACAATTTAAAATATCTCAAGTTAGTATTCAATTAGGATATACATTATATTTGACACAGGCGTGTTTTTAACACCGTTTAAGCTACGCTTGATTTTATCTGAGTTTTTTCAATGTAGATATATATATATATATATATATATATATTATATTCCAGAGAGGTAGAAGACGCATTTCAAGAAAGCCTTACCAATAAAAATATAGTATTTAAATGGCCAAAGTAAAGATATCAAATTACTCTATTAAAAATATATTTATCTAGATTTTAACATAATGTCGTGTCACGAGTTTCCACGAACAAAAATTGTATAATAAACATATCATACACTTTTTTATAGAGTTTTACAATAGGTTTTGTACGGGTGTCTGTTAAGTAAAAACTCTACATTATAACGCAATCTGAATTACATAAATTACATATTTAAAAACGGTTGACGTCTACCGCTTATATTCCAGCACCGGGACAGCGTGGTGACTAGGCCTTAGCCAACCACGCTGGCTGTCAAATGTTATGACAATTTAAATTATAATATTATGTCAATAGATGGCGGACCGTATTGCTGGATCGCGGTATTAAATTATTTCTCATATTTATCGACCTGCCGATTGCAGTTCATTAAAATTGACTCGCACCAAGATATAACAAGTGTTTTATTGTGATTACTCGATACATCTTCAGTGAGAAGGAGACTTTTTGAGACTGCTGACTGGCTGAGTGCTTGGAATGCGAGGTTTGAATAACGGCTTAGTCTGCCAAATTCAGAGTTATTAAATCGTATTCTTTAGTATAGATTTATAATATTAATAGAAATTTATACTAGGGTCTTCCTTTGTAACGATTCCGACTATAAGTGCGGCAGTAAATTTTTAATTAATAATAAAAATAAAGAATGAATAATGAAATTGTAAAAATAAGCAATATTACATTTTTCAAGCAATTTGTCGGCTTGGAACGATCAGAGTCGCTGCGCAGAACACAATTTTAGGTGCAGCGGGACATAGAAGGATGCGGGAGGATAGCGCAGCGCTCAAGGTCCGCCACAAAAACGATTGGAAAATATAATATTATATGGAGATTGTATCAAGAAGTGTAGGTCCGAGTATAATTACACAATATTTCCTATTAATTATAATAATATAAATATACTATTCGATTTAAAGGCCAACATACATATATTGATAAATGTTTGATAGGTATACATGGGTAAATATGCAATCATTTTTACAATTGATATGGGTTTTTCAATATTTTAATTTGCCATATTTTAATGACATTGTATATTTCTTTTAATTTGTACATTGAGAAGTTGATACGAAAAGCTAGATGTTAGATAAATGTATATTCTTGATATATTTTTTAACTTATTAAATTCATTGTCTAAAACTGCTATAAGATTGTAAACTATTTGATGCTGATGAATGAAATTAAGTCGATTTTTTTACTTTAAATCCTCGCTTGACCACAGTCTCAACTGATGGGTGAAACATAGTACTAGCCAATTTAACATATACATAGCTAATTATAGCGACATACAATTATGCTAAATTACAGCGTTTATGCTGACAATCTTCTGTATATTTATTTAATTCTTTGACTTATTAGTATTTCATAAAGGTGCGTCCCGGAGGCCTTATATAGTCCTCTTTCCCTTCCCACCCTCTTATAAGGAAAGGATGGGAAGTGGAAGTGGACTTTCCGGATGAGAGGATGGATGGAAAGGGAAAATATTTTCTTTCTGTGCATCCTCTCCTCCGTCGATTAAAGGTAGGCAACGCATATGCAATTGCGTTTGTCTATGGGCAACGGTCACCTCGCTATTTCAATTTCAGGTGGCCCCTCGCTCGTTTGCCACCTTCTGATATAAAAAAGGTAAACTGTAGATTACAATTTTCTCGACACACAACTTAGCATGTGCTAAACGGCGCGTGTATAATCACAATATTGACTGTAAAGGTTCATTTAAACAAACGCCGTAATCGTACGAACACCGTTCAGATCTTCAGAGCGAGACAAACGTATTTTTTTTCCCATACATTTGTCTCTCTCCGACGTGACTGCCGAGCGTTTATCGTCCGATTTCGGCTCTAGTCTAAATGAACCTTAACGAGTACTTCCCCGACACAATATACTCGGAGGACTTGTAATTACATGTCATATTATTGACTAACAGTATATTAAAAATATAATATGTTTTATTTATAAAATAACGAAGATTTATGATAACACTTCATTCACGTGTAGCAAAACTTACTAATTGGTGTGAGTTATTTAAATATAGCTAAGGATTGATAGACAAGGGTTACTTTTATAAATATGAGTGAAGGAAACTTGGTCACATTTAAATAATTTCTGATAAAATTTTATTTATAAATATTTGAAAAACATTAACAGGATTTTAAATAATTTTTAAAAGGCACGGAAGGGGAATGCTTCGTAGAATTGGCGTAGCTAGATCCAGGGCCGACGTTAGGATAGCTCGCGTATGGGCGACGGCACAGAAAAGGGCGCTACAGGTCTGCGAATTACGCAGTCTCGTATTGTAAAAAAAAAGGGCGCTGTAGAAATATTGCCAAGGGTGCTAGTAGAGCTAATACCACACCACTAACACCACTGGCAAAATCACACTAAAATAACATGATAAGACGACACATTGGACGCATTGGACACACGCTAAGTTGTTACCTGAAGGTAATTAATAATTTTAGTTTAAATAACTCAAGCGTTTCATCCTCAAATCACCATTATATATGAATTTTCCTATCTACACGTCAATATTATAACGGATATTTTAAGTAAATATATTTCAACAGACATCTATTGGAAGGCAAAAGTACATAAATAAATCTTAATAGGACTAGAAATGTTATAAATATATATAGTAAATATGTCATTTTTACATATACATATCTGTATAATACATAAATAATAATAATTTTATATTTTACTACATTTCTCAAGGTAAAGTGTATATGCCATACATGTCCCAAATACCTAAAATGGGATATTTATTTAATCTACAAAAATGCTCGGATTATTAATAAATAACGCAAAAATTCGAGTATAACGAATTATTCGAGAACTATTTTTTTTAAATCATCTCTTTAGTTGGGTTGTGTTTTTGAATACAAACGAGGAATAGCAATGTTTTTAACACGAAGCATCTAACCAGTACCAAATTCTTTGGGTGTATTATGTTTAACTATGGCACGCCTGTGTGCATTCCTGAATATTTATAGTAATTTTATATACTCTTTTCATCAATTATTCACGTAGGTATCATAATGAGTGCACTGCCCAAACATTCACAAGAAAACCTGTTCTCACATTTATTTTGATAAACCATCCAACACTGTCTATGTTAAGGGGACATACCCATAGTACGTGACCCGTTTAGGGAGGGGGGGGGAGGTAGCGAAGTCTTTAAAATACTACAGTCAGTTACAGGAGCGGAGGGGGGGGGCTCTGGTTTTTCTCACGTAGTCACTAGTTGTTCTTTTTCATGATACATTATTCACTAGTAATTTGTGTATCTTTTAAGACTGCATCTTAAAAAAAACTAAAAAAAATAGGTCACTTAGTATGGGTATGTTCCCTAAGGTGGATACTTATAATAGAGCATTTTCCCGATAATTTCTAATATAACGAATTGCAATAAAGGTAAGAGCACATTTGCCAAAGAAAACATTGTTCGTGAAAAAGATACACTAGATATAGCGTTTGTTCTATTAGAGGTAAATGCTAGTGTATACTCACCTTTAGCAATGGACAAAGGAATAGATTAAATATCATATGACAACATTTTTAAATGAATCTTAAGACAGTACCAACATTCAAAACTACACCTCAGTAAGTACCTACATAATAACTAACAGGCGACAGAGAAGTGTTACTTCTACAGACATAAAAATCTCACATACATTCGTAAGACTCAAATTAAAATATCTATTCTTAATATAGAAGGATATAATATTTATTTGTTCTCTATTAATGTTTGTACTTGTAGAACTAAATCCCTCGCTAAAGAGAGTACTGCAGACGCGTCGTGACGTTCCGCCATTTCTGGAAAAGAAACGTACTAATTAAACTGAAGGCACATACAAACACAATCAATGAACGCAATGCATGGTATAAAATCGTTGTTATCGATAGCCAATGCTTTCTTTTATAGTCTGTTCTCTATCTGTGTTAAATTTCATCGAAATCCGTTAAACCGTTTTTGAGGTACACAATAACTAAATCCAACTATCTAACCATCAAAACATTTCTTACTTATAATTAAAATAAGGATTAATAGCTAATGTCGCATCAGGATCGTTCAGTGTTCACCCTTAGCGTAGATTAAGCATTAATAACTTTTACTAAGGGAGTTCTGCAACGCTCTTTTTTAATTTATAATAAATAGATTCAAACATCTCACCATTAAAGAACTTGATGATATCAGTAAAATCCATTGAGTTGGCGAGGATGACGTCACGGTAGGTCTCGAGCAGTGCGAGGGCTATGAACAGCACCATGTGCTCGGAGGCAACGTGCCGCGCTGCCCAGATCAGCTCCCACGCGGCGAACACCTGCGACAGAAGCCAGTAGTTACTTCTAGCAATTAACAGAAGAAAATGGGTCTTTCTTGTAATGAGTAATCTTAGACTATGAAATGATAGTAGTATCTCACATCTTGGTAGAGCAGTTCTCGCTTGAAATCGAGCAAGAACCAGCGGTAGCAGAAGTAGAAGTGCGTGTAGTCGCCGTGAGCGTGCATCAGCTCGTACAGCTCACAGTCGAGGATCTGGATCAACGATCTGAAGACACAGTAATAAGACATAAGACTTTATTAGAATCCCAAATTTTAGATTAGAGTTCTAAATTTTGTATTCTTTATTTGAGAAGTTGCTATATTATTATAAGGTTATTTTCTGATTATTTACTCTTCTTATCTAAATTTCCTTCTTAGTACTGTATGATGTTTATTTACCGCATATCCGCAAAGTGCGCATCCATTGCCTGTCCGGTGGGGAAGTTGTCTTTAGCACGGAGCATGAGGCGGGAGAAAAGGGCGTGTGCGGCGGCCTCTTCGCGCATTGTCACCAGCAGTGGGGCGGCCAGGTCGCACATGCCCTGCATGTATCCTGTGTCCAGGTGCTCCCACACGTAACTAGAGACAGAAATATGTCTGATCCTACAATTGACTGCGATAGACCGCTTATTCGACGTTTCACGGCAGTGATAGTGAAATAATAAAAAATGGGGTTAGGAAAGAGGTCACAAAATTTAAACGGAAGCATTAAGTGCTAAGTAGTGCACTTTATAACTTCGTTAGGTACATTGTCAGACCCTATAAAATACGCTGTTATAAAATGTAAATAAATTAAAATTGAATACATGAAATATCGCATTAAACCTGTACATGAAATTTATTCCTACACTTACGTGCACATGATGTTTCTCAATTTATCTAAATTCTCGTCAGTGAAAAATGGATAGTTTCTATCGCATCTCTGTACATCTTTTTCTATTCTGTGCAAATTCAAAGCGAAGGTTTCTACCAACTCGTTCTGTAATAACATCATAAAGATATTAAGGAAACTAGAATTTTTCATTACAAATTATAACTATAAGGTTTTTAGCAAAAACGCACCGAGTAAACACCGCCATTAGAACTAGCCGGGGATACACAATTTGATCTATTGTCCGGGCGCGCGTCTCCACTCGGCTCTAGAGTATCGAATGATGCCCCCGCCGAATGGGACTCCTCGCGAACCACACCCAAAGGACTTCTGGCTGGACTCACATTCGCTGGAAAGTTTTAATAGTTCAATTCAAGTAATACTACTATATTTTAACATTGCACTTTGAATCTCCTATGAAGTCAAATAAAATTTAAATTTAGGGAATTAAAATTTTACCCGTTGTGCCACTAGATGCAGGTGATCCAGATGCAGCTAAATCCACGGAAGGATTGGTTATTATCACACTAGCGTGCTTTTGTTGTGGCGGCTGGCTTTCTTCCATCGAGGACTTTAAGTCGTTACCATTTAATGTCATATTACCACTATCCACACTGCATAAAAGGCCTCTACCATCACCCTTCTGAACAATTCCTTCTGCCAACCTTTTAATTTCAGCTATACTTTCCCTTCGCATGTCAGGATTTTCTACGACACTCTTAATATAAACTTCGTCGTCGTCGATATCATTTAAACTGTCTACATCTACGTGCTCTTTGCTATCACTGGTTCCATCAGTCTCTCCGTTAACTTTGCTATTGTTCCTTCCTTTCTCTTCTGAATCCATTTCGATATTTTCAACTTCGTCTATGCTCGGTGCTCGAGAAAGCACCGGTTTGCTTTCCGGTTTCTGTTCTCTTTCACTTGGTTCTGGGGATACGATTGGCGGATTATCCGATATGACACTGCAGTCGTCTTCGAATACCTGTATAGATAAACTATTTTAAAACACGGTCAATTATTATTTAGCGATTTAATGCGATTTCTAACAACTATACATCCGCTATTGCATTTTTTTATGTTGCTTACTTCTCCGGTTTCCACCGTTGAAGATGTGGCTCTTCCAGCAGCCTCAGTGAGCCGTGCTATAGAGGCAGCAGTAGCTTCTCTGTCGCGTTGCTTCACGATGGCTTCCACACAAAGCCATTCGGACATCGTGGTCTCGTACTGACGTCTACAAGCCGCGTCTTGTTCACTTCTTTGCTCAGATGTTGAACCGAATCTGAAATTACCAAATTACTACACTTTTGGATTTCTTAAACAATAATAAATGTTTACTAAAGTAATAACAATCTGCTCTACATTTAAATAATTCTTAACTTATATCCTTAACCATAGACTTTGTCGATATAAATGCCTGACTTGGTGGTATATAAATAATACCAACTCGTAATATCCTAGCAGATAAGGCCAAACATCACGACGTATGTTTTGCTGTACGCCTCCGTAATACACGAGCCGGTAGACCTCGTCACCGTTGTGAACTGCGCCGTTCTCGTCCATCATAGACTGCCATATCTCCTCAGTCAGACCAGACTCAGTCCCATCTGTAATTATGATACAAACAAACCGATATAAAGGTTTACGTGTCAATTAGGGAAAACTAAAATAAGTATGTAAGAAGATTAAAACTCAAACAACTACAAAATATCAAAAACAACAAACCTGTAGGAACAATGTTAGGATGGACTAAGCCACTAAGATGAGTTCGTACTGTAGACAAATGTCTGCAGTACGCAAGCCAGCCGTAAAACGCTCGCGAAATTATCTGACGACGCATCGTACTACAGACCAGCTCGATCGACGCAGCCTACGAAACATAATAGGAATTAACAAACACTAAAAGCAAAAGGTATACCGATAATGAAGTTCAAATGAACTGACTCTTACTGCCTTTATACAATTATTTTGCAAAATCTGACTCAAAGGACCAAAGTCACTAAAAAAAGAAATAATTTTAAAACCAAATATATGTTATAATGTAAGTGGAGTACTAACGATCCAAATATTGTTTTATAAAAACTAAAGCATTTACTGCGAAAGGAATGACTACCTAATTACCTGTTCAATAGGTGGTATCTGCGCAGGCGTGAGTGGCGGTTGTCCATTGATGATGGCCGAGGGCGGACAGTCTACAGACATTGTGGATGAGTCTGATGACGTAGTAGATGTTGAAGCAAGCGGACGTCGAGGTGTCCTCGGAGGAGACTGCACCGCACGCTCTAGAAGCGAGTGACGCATCGCTGGAAATTTTAATGACATTATTAATTAACATTCTGCTACATATGTCGCTAAAAGCGTCTTATCATATATGACATATATTATAACAAATGTCTATTATGGGATTTATTAAGTTACCTTTTGACGATTTACATCGAATTGCGATGCTGGTGCATTATATACTGGAAATCTCTACAGATCTATAGAGTTCATTATGCCGATAATATAACAGTTTGACATTAGACTCAAAACGATTCTTACAAAGTAAAGCCATCAGCAGAATCTTATGATATGAATTTATACACAATTATAATTCGTTTTTTTTTACATGAGAATTCACGTTTTACTTTACCTTCTCTATCTGCGATTGCATTATTAACAATACGGAACACGTAGTCGCCTGCCACATCCTCCCACTCGGTCTCCTCTGTCTCACCACTCTCACATAGACTCGGCATCGGTCGTCGACGACTCTTACCACGCCCAAATACCTGGATTGACCATGAAAAATGTTATTATAACTTACTGTAAATGAAAGTTAAAATAATAAAACATTCGAGATCTTCAGCTCCGTAATTTGGTGTTACTATAAATATAATATAAAATATCTTAGTTTACTCACCTTGCCAGTTCCCCTTTGCGACCAAAGTGGCGGGTCTAACTGACCATGAGGCAGAAGACCAGTTTCCAAATTACTCAGGAACGAAAGAAGATGGCCACCTAAGAAAATAAAATCATAAGAAAAAAATACAACTGTTTACTCTCTTTATTATGATTTTTTTACTCTTTATTTTGGGGACACGTTCGTTATTGAAACGGATTAAGTCACATAGAAAATGATGTAGAATATACCTTTGGGAAAGTGTATTGGAGGCCGCTGGACGCCATCTTGTCCCACCAGTATGAGTGCGTCACTAGCACGTGCTCTGTGCACGTGTACGTAGACCACCTCCCACACGCACACCTGCAGTGACATCGCCCAGTACACGCTAGACAAAACAAATTTACATTACAACCTATACTTAAAAGTATCCACGTCCGAGAGTCTTCCGGACTGAATGTAAAAGATTCTTCTTCTTTTTCCACATCTCTCTCTACATTTTCTAATATACTGTTCTCGACATAGTAGAAATTTAATTAAAAGTGTCTTGTATGGTCCTTTGTTTAAAAAATCATGTTACCGTAAACAAATTCTTTAGGAGATTATATTTTGTAATCACAAAAACCACGCTTTAAAAAGAGAAATATTCAAAAACATCTAATAACAAACTTAAAAGTTGGCTACAAGGTACTTTCAGATAAGGCACTAAATAAAGTAGACATGTGACAACAATGAAGCTACGAAAGATAAACAACGTAAGAAAGAAGCTACAAAAGATATACAACAAAAGAATAAAACTACAAAAGATAAAGCAACAAACGTACCAGTCTATACAGAGTGGGCCAGCGCAGCGACGCCTATACACGCTGCACATGTCGGCCACGCTGCACATAATGCACTTGTGTTGGCAAGCGGACGTGTGCACTAGGTGATAACGGTAGCTACACAGACATGCACTCTACTACTAACGGAATAGAGTCTACTTTACATAGCAACGATATTACTAAGGCTCTTACATACAATCGAATCATTTGAGAAACTAGTGAAATGAAGCTTCTTTTTAAATATATGAGATTAAAACAATATTAAACTTATTATTGGTTTATAAAAAAATATTTTTATTCAGATACTGTTTGTAAGAGCCTTATTAATTCTATTTGAAATAATAACACTTCAACAAAACCGCAAAAATAACTGACAACAAAATCAAAATAAAGCTGCACCAATCTAATCATACAATAACTATAAATAGTTAGAACATCTAACTAAAGAATAAGATATACCTTTTGTCAACTCCTTCACTCTCTGCATATCCATTCATAAGCTGATTGGGAGTCCATTTAATAACAAGACCGGCGGCAGTTTGGTGCAAACTCAAATACCCAGGCATTGGTTCTTCCACGTCTTTCTGTAGAAAAAGTAAAAGAACGTACATATCAAGTTTAATTCCTGCTACTACCCCGTAATCATTAAATACAGATATTTTAGAAGTCCAGATGTGCCAGAAAAATTACCACTTACCGGTTGAACTCGGACATTATTTTTTCCATACAACAAAGTCGCTCGAGAATTTTGATGTAAGCTTTCCACGTAGTCTTTAGCACTTGAAACTGTCGCACTGCCCGTGGCTAGAATTTTAATAACTATGAATAACTAATCAACACAAAATGCTCCAGAAAAAAACGAGGATAATTTAAGTCTTAAGACGGTACTTGGACAAATTCTCTCAAGAATGAATTTATTGGCCGACTTGATATCTTTATCTATTTTTTGATACGATGACCATACATATGTTTAGCAGATTATTACTTAATAATATCTCCTCATCTAAATGCCTAAAAGTTTGTGAACTGAGGTTATTCGATAGTCAATGTCAATATCAACTTAAGTCCAGTTTTCGTGATAGAGAATTAATTAATCGAATGATCAACAACAAAAGTTCTGTGTCAATGTTGAAACTGAAAGTTATTAATCTTCGCTATTAAAGAACTTATAGAAGCCTGGTCTCTAATTCTATTATACTTGTGATTTCTCTAAATTTAAATAAAATAATAAGTTTTAAATAACTACTTCTTCATGATTTTTGGGATTCCCATTAATTTCCAAAATTTTATGACTTCATCATTTGGCTAATCATTGATCACATTAATTACAAATTCAATAATTAGTTTTTGTTTTTAACAACAGCTTATTGTAACGCTGTTAAGTCAAATGTTACCTGCACTCGAGCCGCTCGTATCGTCCGAGGATGCGTTCAAACTTCTTCTAAAGTTAAGTATCGGCCGTCGCACTGACGGTGGCGTTGTTGTACCGGCCGACATACGATGTCTTTGAACCTGTCGTTATTATGTGAAAATGAAACTGGGACACATCGATGGAATACCAGTAGAGCTAACATCAGACTCAGAAAATTGAGTTTCCATCGCCTTAACAACTGTATAAAGATCATAGTTGTCCTATTATTTTAAAAATAAATTAAAGATGATACTATTATATACAACAACCTAGGGCACAGTGGGCTAATCACCTGCTTGCCCGAACTTTAGAGATTCAAGAAACGAACACTATTATATGGTTCCATAATGGCGTTTCGAAGCCAACAACTGAAGTATTCAATTAACTAAGTAATTATAAATTTCTATACGATTAATCCTTACCAATTCATCAGCTGGTGGATCTGACCAGAAACAAGCAGGAGCTTTCGCTTTAGAATATTCTAGAGCGCAAGGTCCTACCAGTAATGAGCTCAGTATACTGCCGTAGTCCGGGTCAGCTACTAATGCGTCTCTCTCGTAGTACCTCGTCGCGTTGTTCACTAAGTGCTCGATTATCTTCGCCAACTGCCTCTCAAAGAGAGCGATCCGTATCCAGAGGTAACTGTGAAGTAAAATTTAAAGTTAAAAAACTGCATATGTTAATGCTACTTACATTATGGGTAATTTAAACTAAAATCAAGAATCACGTTGCGGTAACCAATGTGGAGGCATAATAAAATGGGACTCCACTTTCAATCCATCTCAAGAAGGACACATTCATCTGTTTGCAGTTTGGTCAATTGTAAACGTAAAACTGATTCATATATTGTTGTAGAGAGCCAAAGATATCAATAAAAGTGTGTGATTTAATTCTAAAAGAGACGAAGTTAAGAATTCATAAAATATGTAGTAAATTGCCAAAAATCATATCGATGTAACAAACAAAAATCAATACAAGGTTATTCAAGTTATTGTTTCAGTTTACGATCCATCATAAACTGACAGTAAACTGGCGCGGACAAACGAAATTATCCGCAACATTAATGATAAAGAAACACCCGCTTTACTGCTTTTGTTTCTCATACAAAAGTATAATAAAGATGGATGATGTATAAAATAGAAGAACAACAAAAAAAGAGACAAAATGATTAATAAAAAGTTTTTAATTATTTATTAAATTATATCATAAGGTGGCAAACGAGCGAGCGGCCACCTGAAATCGCTGAAATAGCGAAGTGACCGTTGCCCATAGACATACGCAATTGCATATGCGTTGCCTACCTTTAATAGACGGAGGAGAGGATGCACTGAAAGAAAATATTTTCCCTTTCCATGCATCCTCTCATCCGGAAAGTCCACTTCCACTTCCCATCCTTTCCTTATAAGAAACAGGGTGGGAAGGGAAAGAGGACTAAATTAGGCCTCCGGGACCAGCCGGGAACTTAATTGCCTATGTTTCCTTATTGGCTATGTTCCACATATATGCCAAATTTCAGCGAGATCCATGCAGTCGTTCTGGAGATACCTTCAAACATACATCCATCCATCTAAACATTCGCATTTATAGTATTAGTAATAAGTAATATTGGTAATATCAAATTGATATCAGTGATCAAATAATTTATAACATAGAAAATGATTTTTAGTTGCATGAAGAACATTACCTCTTAATGAATTTTAGGCTCCGCTAATAGCTAGCAGCAGAATTTAATTGAATTATCGAAAGTCTTATGAAGCAAACTACAAAGATAGTTTTGTCTTTCCGCTTTAGAACTGTGTGAAACTAATACTAACCAAATCTAAACAATCATAAAGCTTCACATAATCGGTCAAAAAGATTTCAGTCGAAAAAAATCTTTGTATAGAAAAGTGACATTGAAATAATCTTCATAATAAATCATATCTTAAGGAGAATCTCAGCAATTTATAACATTTCATCAAAACAGGCTAAGCTTAGAAAATCTTAAAACGTATAAAGAACGTTCAGCAATTTATATGGCTACGAAAATACCCTTGAGTTAATGAATGTTATTTGTCACTTTTAATAAAAAAGCTAAAAAGAAACCTCAAGGTACGCGTCCATTGGGACCGGACACGCACCGGATTAAACGGATTTGCTTTGTCTTGCGATGCAGGCGGCGCGGATGATGGACGCAGCAAGTGAAAATACAAAGCAAAATAAAATCCGTTGCGGGCCGTTCATACGGTGCGTCTGGCACGAGCCAATTAATACGTACCTTTATAATATCCTCTTAATCGTAAATTCATGAAATTAACTCAATAAACAACAATTGAAACTTTTCAAATAAATAATTCACTTATAAAGTACACAGTACAACTATCCAAACATTTTGGCATTCATCAAAAACTTTTAGACAATCGCCTCTAATTGCTTCAACAAATAAATTGCTTTGCGATTGAGTTTGAAAGCAATTATTTGTTAACTTTATTGTCCTTCATTACGTTTATTTAGTAATAACTTCCTTTTAACTGCTATAATTGTTTAAAAGTTTTCATTAACTTTCTATTTCAAAATTAAAAATAAATTCAACAGCCAACGGCTATGGATAGCTGCAGCTCCGAAGGAGAGGGTTGCATAGCACCGCTAAATAACAAAAAAATAGATGAGTAGACGCATTTTACACATATACTGCCAAAAGAAGAGAACTTCAAGCAACTATCGTGACTTTCTGACATCAAAATCTCCGTTTAAATCTGTTTTTTGTCAAAGATAATGACAGGAATGATATATTTTAAATCAGCGACTATTCTCATACTTTAAAAGAAACAATCGACGAGCGTTTCAAAGATCCATCTCATATTGAGCAGTAAATTCATTTTATCTTTAACATTAAAGTAAGTAACATTGTCCACAAAGGAGATTTTATGGTAGATTTATCACCAGTCGTTAGAGAGAACAATAACAAAAGTAATGTTTGATTAGATTTTATTCTGAATTTTCTAAAGATTTTACAACATGAACGATATATTTCAGAGATTGGTCGATTAATTTTATAAAATTAAGCTATCTTGCGATATCTTACTAATATTATAAATGCGAATGTTTAGATGGATGTTTGTTTGAAGGTATCTCTAGAACGGGTAATCGGATCTCGATGAAATTTTGCATACATATAGAACATAGTCTAGAAGAACAAATAGGCTACTAATTTAATATTTCTTAACTCCACGCGGAAGAAGTCGTGAGCGAAAACTAGTTATTAAATAAGGTTAACCAACTAAAACTCTATTAAAGAGTAATAAACAAAACTTCTCTCATATTTCCTAACAAAATAATAAAAAAATATTCTTTAAGTATTTTCGATTTAAATAGTGAAATCTTAATTCTTCTAAATTAACCCTCAACCTGAAACACGCCTCCATTTTAGGCCTATTTCAAAAAATAACTTTTTATACACCCCGAACTACCAAAACGTTGGCACACAAACAAAATTTACATTCCATTCGGCTTTCGATTACCGAGCGAGTAAACATAAATCGAATTCACATTCTTGAATCCTATTTCAACATTTTCTAAGCTCCCATTTTATTTTGATCTCAGTAGTTGCGATCGCAGAGAATATTCTACTAAAAAAAAAGCAAAAACAAACAGTTCAAACTTCACTGGTTGGTAATAAATTTATTCGGTGGTCGTAAGTTACTTAATGGAATGGAAATATGTTCAACGGTTTGGAGATTGTGTACTTTGGATCATATAGTACCAAGTGGATATTCTGACGTGTATTTTCCCAGATCATATGTGCCAAATTCCATTGAGATCCGTTGAGCCGTTCTGGTGATACCATCAAACATCCATCCATCTAAACTTTCGAATTTGTAATATGTTAATGTTAGGAAGATTAGATCCTCTATCTAAAGTACACGCATAGAGATTATCTTAATACATATTAAAATTAATAATATCTTGCTCATTCAATAACATTAAGGACGCAAATCCTATCCCTTTAATGTTTAATGAAAATCGAACAAGGGGGGAAACTTTACACATGGTGCATGGAAATATTCCATAAATATTTAAATGGAATCGGTATGTATGAGTTATGTAGAATGATAGACTAATGCCATTAGCAAATATAAAAAAGTAATGAGATTGTATGTGGATGTTTACATATGTAGAGGAAGACCAAAGAAAGGATTGCGTGAAAGAGGATAAGCATAAAGAGGGGATTAATTCAGATATGACGAATAGAAATGTATCGAGAAGTACATATTGTGTCGAATCTCCGCAGAGATGAGGGCAGTTTGTTGATGATAGCGTAATATGCTCATGATATAAACTGGTCCGTATTTTATTATTTTACTGGCTTATGTCCGTGACTCCGTCCGCGCGAAATAAAAAAAAAGTTTGTAAGTACCTATGTGTTCTTCCAGGCCATGTTCTAAATTTCATACTTTGTGCCGTTCTGGTGATACCTTCTAACAAATATCCATTCATCTAAACTTTCGCATTTATAATATTAGTATGATAATTCAACATTATATTTACAATACTTTATGATTAAATCTTATTTAATATTGAAGATATGTGTGAAGTCAACCAGCCTGCACTTGGCCAGCGTGGTTGACTATGGCCTAATCATCCTCAGCTTAGGGCAGGCTCCGAGCCCCTCGGTGGGGACGTTTAGTGAGCTGATGATGATGATGAAATCTTATTTATTACGTCTAAAATGTAATCAAACGTAAACGTGTTAAAACTTTAATAATGAAAGCTCTACTAATAAAGAAATTAACAATTTTAATTGTATTTTCTGTCACACAATAATGTATTTCAGTACCTGAATATCATTCAAAAAGAAAATTAAAATCATTCCTTCTTATCGACTTTTATATTTGAATAATACCTGAATAACGAAGCTTTTATTATTCTTTGCTCCTTCATTTCGATAATCTGATTGTATCAACCTAGAAGTATACACACAGCCTTGTTTTCTTGTTTACACAAATTCTCATTTGAAAATCAATCGAATAAACTCTTTACAATACGCTATTCGATTTGAATCTCGCTACATTTGTATTTTCCCTTCAATTTCCTCAAAGCCAAATGTTTTGAATGTGCCAAATAAATTGCCGGTGAGCGTTTTGTTCTATTAATTAAAGCGAAAAGCGTATTCTAAATAAAAAATAATCAAAAAATATAAAAAAAAATCAAAGTATTTTTTTAAATATTTTTTGTACTCATGTGAATATTCATTAACTATCTTACTCATATTATAAATGCTAATTTTTGGATGAATGGATGGATGTTTGTGTAAAGGTATCTCCATGCGGCTTCGTAAATTTAGCTGAAATTTGGCATAGCATAAAATTATCACACTTTCTAGTACAATAAACCTATTTTTAAATTAAACTCTAATATAATCATGAAACAACCTGTATCTATTCAATCTGTTTACTCACGTAACTCTCGGTTCATTCCACTTTAAAGTGACTTCAAGTTTAAAGCAAACAATCGGGTAAATGTAACCTTTGAACTTAATTAGTATTGAGTTACACAACTTTTGAAATGAACTCCGCATTGTTTTATATCGAGCACGAATAGAGATAAAAAAACATGGAAAAGTAACTCATTAATTAAAAACAAAAACATTTAAATCGTAAAATAAACATTGTTACTTATAATACTTTTCTATCATTTTCGACGATTTTACGGTGGGTTTCTAAGACCAAAATTCCTGTTTAAAATATATTGTTATCTCTGTTTTGTCAAAGATAATGACAGGGATGAAGATATGTTTTATAAAGAGATTTAGCTCAGACACCAACGACTAGTTATTTATAACGCGGACATTTAATTTCAAATTATATTTAATATCATAAATATATATTTTTTGTGAATGGATCGATAGATGATGGATGGATGTTTGTTAAAAGGTATCTCCTGAACGACTGCGTGGATCTCGATGTAAAACATAGTATGAAAGAACACATAGCGTACTTTCAAAGTTTTTTTTTTTTAATTACGTGCGCATGAAGTTCAGGCGAAATGCAGCCAGTCATAATGTTATTTACATGTACTACATAAAAGAAAAATAAATACATTTCCACAACTCGAAACACCGTCCATTTCTGTTTGAGTTAAATTGTAACAATTCCTTGATGTTTAGGGAATTCGAAACTCAAACTAGAGAATGCTTTGACGACTAAAATAACAAGCCCCTTTCACTCTGCTAGGCAGAGATAATTTACGACCCTCTGGCTGTAACAAATTTCACAAAGACATCTAATAATAGTTCTATTTATTTGTTACAAATTCATTGAAATTGTATGCATTCCATAATTCCTAGCGTTCCCCATTCAATATAGTATACCCGACTAACTGTAGAAGATTAAAAACAACGTGCCATTATGAAAAAAAAACAATTTTTAAAGCTCGAAAATGCATTAAAAAAATGCGATCACTAGCAAAAGTTAATTAATTTATGTACATATTTTGGTAACTGAATTTAAATTCACACACACACGCACACATATTAAATTATGAAAAATAACGTTAATTCTAAGTTTCTGGCTTTGGACAGTGATCAAAGATTGATTGTTTTAAAAAAAATAAATGTATATAAATCTCATTTAAATTACGACTGGCAAATAACTATAAAATATTAAAAGCAAAATAAAACTAGCAATGCATAAACTTTAGACGGATTAAATCCAGTTATAGCAATTATAAAATATCTGTTCGTAACACGGAACGGCGGATAAAAATATGGCGGATAAATTAATTTTCCGTACTGGCGACTGTCGAGCGCTCGGTTGCAATTCAATTTGAGCAATAAGTTTTCCGCCGGCAATCGCTGTCGCAATACTACAGTTATAATCTAGAAATTATCTGATTGCTACATGAAACGATATGAGATGACTGCTAGAGATAGTTATAGCAGATTTATTCCACACTAGCTGTCGCCCGTGGATCTGTCCGGCGGAATTGTAAATATACTTAATAAGCAGCTAATGTGTTCTTCCAGACTGTCTCCTAAATGTAAGCAAAATTTAAGCGAGATCCGTTAAGCGGTTCTGGAGATACCTTCAAACAAACGTCCATCCATCGATCCATCCATCCAAACATTCGCATTTATACTATTAGTAAGATTGTTCATCAGTAAATTTAGTAATAAGGATACAAAGATGAAATGGTTTTCACGGACTAAGGGGGCCTCTATTAAGGGGGTAAAAAAGAGAATTGCCACAGTATCTTTGTCCAACTCACCGTGATTGTGTCGGCGTCTGTGACAATAAGGAGCCGGAGCCGCGTTTGTTGAGAGGCGGGCGGGGTGCGGATGGGCGGCGCTCCACACCGGACGCTGAGCGGGTCGCCGGCGCGCCCTCTGCTGACAACACACGCGCAGACACCAGCGCAGCTTCCGGACAGTGCTAGAGAAACAAGTTGACTTACTATAGTAATAAAGCTGGTACCAGGCAAACTTTGATGAAATTGGTGATATCCTATGATTACGCGCATTCAATTTGCGTGGATCTATATTAAAAGGAAGAGAGGTTAAGTGAAGCCTGCATGCGTCGTCAATCTAAATGCTTCAGTATTTTTAAATTTGAAAAAAAAAACATATTTTTAAAGGGCTTTTTTATTTCTATGCATATTGAATGTTCAGAACACATGTTAAAAGTAGAGAACAATTTAAAAATCGCTTCGTAATGCGCAAATCATTCCTATATTTGACAACGATAAATTAATTTCAGCAGCATTTGCTCGTGATATGCACTTTTCTATTACACACGAATAAAACTGTAGACGAATTATTATTGTTATTTTATTACAAGCTTTAAAAACTTACAACTCCGAGGCAAAACAATATTTTGAATATATTATATAAAATCAATTTTTTTTTTTATAAAAATATTAGCAGATTTTTTTGTAAATTTACTAATATTTCTTTTACCATTCTAATTAAGCTCTAGGCTTGTGCTAGGATATGGTTTACGACAATAGTCGAATGGCGGGATTCGAATCCCCGACCTCGTGTTCGGAAATCCGTACCCTTAACCATTAGGCTATTGACAATTTATAAGATTGCTCTCTTTAGTAGATTAGTATTTTATTACGGACATTAATCACTCCACTTCAGCCGATTGTCTACAATGTTACATTTTATAGCTCAATCATTCAGAATAGCACACTTTAGAGAAACATTGTAACTACCGATTGTAGGTTTCTACCCTCCTAGTACTTATAGTAAAATAATTAGTAAAAAAATAGTTATTATAAAATATGTTATCGTGTAAACTGTTATGTAAAGTGTGTATAGTGTCAAATTGGTTGTATACTGTAAGGACGCTATGCAGTTTTTAAATAAATAAAAAAAAAATAACATTGTCTTCACTCTTACTCTTTTAGGAAAAATAGAGACGAGTTATCTTACTAATATTATAAAATGAGACGTGTAGAACATACTTTGGAAGAACGTAGAAGCTACTAATTAAGTTTTTTTTAATCTGCACAAACAGAGCCGCGGGCGACATCTTACCGACGACCTTAAAACACCATTTCTATAATTTCCATTACTATTAGTTTTGTGTATTTTTTCATTTCCATAAAACTCCTAAATGATGTAAAAGACAGATCTAATAAACAACAAGTTTGAACTTTTTAATGATCACAATTTAATTAACAAACGAATATTTCCTAAGCAAAAACAAAATACATATAAAGGATAAATTTGAAACATATAACTGAGATCGTAAATCGCGTCAATTAAAAAAAAAACATGAAATATTTTCTTGCTCGCACACAAATGTTCACTCGACAAACAATAAACAAACAAAGAACAAACATTAATGATACAAGAAAAAGAAAGACATTGTAGCACTTGGGAATTTAGAGTATTGACTGAACTTTATTTCCCATCGGCATGCGAGCAATATAGTACTAAAGAAAATAAGAAAACATTCACTGACTTTTACACTTTTTTCTTTTGTATCTAACACTAGCTGTCGCCCGCGACTCCTTTTGCTTTCAATTAAAAAAAAAACTTATTTAGTAGCCTATGTGTTCGTCCAAACTATACCCAACATCTACGCCAAAATTCAGCGAGATCCGTTCAGCCGTTCCGAAGATACCTTCACAGAAACATCCATCCATCTAAACATTCGTATTTATTATATTAGTAAGATTAAGATAATAGTATAAGAGCTAAGTTCGATTACGTTTCTAAGATTAAGTTATACAATGGTCACAATTTAGGCGTAATTTTTTTTTTAAATATGGCTACCCACCCCATATTGTGACGTCACAAAATCAATAGATATTTTGGTATTTAACTAAAAAAATTATTGAATAACATACGTACGACTTAGACAAAACGTCAAGAATAATTTTATACAATATAAGTAATAAATATCATTATCACAAAATAATAATCGTGCCTCGTGAAATCTCATGCGACAAACAAGGGAGACAAATAAAGCTCGCTTGCCCCAATTACAATGGAAGACCCGCGTAAATTACGAATATAATAGAATTGCTATAGTTATACAAGGAGCAGAAAGAATTATATGAAATAGTTGACGCTCGTTGGTCAAATTGGACCATAAATCATCATTTTTATGTAATTTATATTCAACTTTTAATCAAAGTCCAACTGTCAATAATCATTCACCACCGCATCCAAAAATAAAGCGTTTTAGTTCCATTTGTAATTACAATTGGTCCTACATAAATTAGCAAAAAATAAGGGTACCTAAAATACACTGAATAATTTATAAGACTTGCGAAACGAACCCGACTCGTCTATTAATCTTCTTCAATAGATAATGAAAGACCTCAAGAATATTCGAGAAAGTTCTAACTATGGCACTCATTTTAGTCCTCATTCACTTCCCACCCTTTTTCCCATAAAAAAGGATTATGTGCATCCCCTCCTCCGTCGATTAAAGGTAGGCAACGCATCTGCAATTGCAGATATCTATGGGCAACGGTCGCTTCGTTATTTCAGCGATATCAGGTGGCCTCTCGTTTGCCACCTTATAATACATAAAAAAGCTATAGTCCTTGGTTACAATATAGATTTCTCATACTAAATCTACACTAAGGGATCCATTACAGTGTATGTTATATTATTAATTATTATAAGACGTCAGATTAGCGAAAAAGTTTACTGATACATCGGAGTTATTTCGAAATATAATCAAAGTAAAAGCGCTATTCAATCTTTCTAATGGCAGATTGCATCTTCCGAATAAGCGATACAGACTTTATTTCACGGTAAAAGCATTAAGTATAATAGCAATTTATTTCGATGCAATCAATCAATAAACAACAGAGGTAAGTCTTTAAATTGATTAAAATTGATAAGATTTAACCATAAAAAATAAGCCCATAAAGTTAATACAATACCAAAAATATGATCATCATCATCATCATCAGCTCACTATACGTGCCCAGCTAGGGGCTCAGGCCGAAAATATAATACACTAAATTAATCTATCTATCTTCTTCCATATATTTAAAAATCAATTGCTTTTCGTTAGTTTCGCTAAAACTCGATAACGACTGAACGGATTTATCTTATCTTGGTCTTGAAATGTTCGCGGAGGTCTAGGGAAGGTTTTAGAGGTGAGAAAAAATCGAATAATTGTCGGGAAAACCCTAAAAACAGCCCATAAAAACAGCTGAATGGATCTCGCTGAAACTTGGCATAGATGTAGAACATAGTCTGGAAGAACACATAGGCAAATAATTATGTTTTTTTTTATTACGCGCGGACGGAGCCGAGGGCGACAGCTAGTAAGTTATAAAATCTTCCAATTTAAATGCGAACTAAAATACTTACATTATTTTGATTATTTACCCTTTAGGTTTAGCTAGTTTGAGACAAAATACGAGAGATAATTGCGTTACAGGTACGCAACCTTGTAAAGACGTATGTTTGTATCGATTTCATGTAAAAGGCACGCGTGTTTACCGTGAACAGCATACGTAATATCCTTACTTAGGATTTATTTAGTCTGGACATGTAAGACTCTTCTATTTTCTTTTCTAACGTTTAAGCCAGCGCTTAACCACTATTCCACCTGATGTTAATTGTTGATGTCAATGACCTCTATATATAGAGAGGCTATAAGCCATGTTATTTAGTATCTATTTGATTTTCGTTAATTTGAAGATGATGGTTGCAGTTGGTAACAGTGGTGAAGATTCGAATTAATAGTAGGAAATTCCAAGGACGAATATATGTGGAAACAACGCAGGAGCTCTTTTACAAACAGTGACCTATCTGAAAGACCTAGTCGAAAGATTGAAGGGTCTAGTTTACGAAGAATTGCTTTTCATGTTACAAAATTATCTTATAAATAAGTCAAATGTAATTCCAACAGTACAGCCCTCATCAGAAAAACAAACATTGTCGTGACGACAAATTGTTTTGTATTCGTCTCACAGCACCGCGACTAACGAAGCAAAATGTTTGTTTTGCCGAAACGAAAACATAAATTGTAACAAAAACCGATGATAAATGTCAGGTTTTACGCACTCACGAGCATAGCGTAAGCGTAATCGATCGAGTGTGATACTAACGAACGAAGACGTAACTTAATCTAACGGATACTTAATTATACTTCAGACGAGTACTAATATTATAAATGCAAGTGTTTGGATGGGTTGTTTGTTCGAAAGTATTCAAAACGGCTGAACAGATTTCAATAATATTTGCCATACATATAGAACATAGTCTGGAAGAACACATAGGCTACTAATTATGTTTTTTAGCCGACTTCAAAAAGATGGAGGTTATCAATTCGTCTGTATGTTTTTTTTGTGTTACCGAGTAACTCTGGTGTTCTGATTTTAAATTTTTTTTGTGATCGAAAAGTTTTGGTGCAGGTCCCATTTTTTTATGTTAATCTTTAAAGTGACGATGTTTTTAATACCGTGCGGACGGAGTCGTGGGAGGCAGCTAGTTTTAGTATAAATACAGAATTCTAATAAATATTTGCTCATTTATTTGGATAAATAAGAAGCTTTAGCTTTTTCTCAAATGAAGTATCTATTAAAATAGATGAAGATAAATAACCAAGGTATTGTGATTAATTACTTGGCCTGAACCTCATCAGTAGATTATATAGTTAAGTTAAAAGACGAATGTTGGTTTTCTTACTGTGGGTCTCTGAGACCATAATCTCTGTATAAAACATATCTTCATCCCTGTCATTATCTTTGACAATACAGAGATAACAATATGATTTAAACGGAGAATTTGGACTCGGAATTCTAACGCAATTCATTCAGCTACTTAGTTTTCTATTAAAGTTATTTCATTCGATAAAAATATCATGAGAATCTCTAAACAGTACTAAAGCTATTTGTTCATTAATTTTCTTTGTATCTACACATACTTTGTAATAAAAAACTTTTGACTCTC